TCTCTTTCTTTCTCTCCCTCATCTCTTTCTTGCACACACACACATGCACACACAAGCGAAATGCCTTCCTGGGCCGGGATCACGGCGGGGACGGCGACTTCTCCTCCTGCTGCCGCCACGGCACAGTGAGGTGAGTAGCCGGCTGCACAATGCAGGAGAGCCAAGCTGCGCAGGAGATCTCTGCACAATGCAGGAGAGCCACGCAGTGCAGGAGAGCCACACTGTGCAGGAAACTCCTGCTCAGCGCAGGAGAGCCACAGTGCGCAGGAGAGCTGGAGCTCTTCCCTCCCTGCATCCAGCGACAGCAGCTGCTGTGCTGCTCCTCCCCATTCCCCTCCCTGAGCCTACATGAAGGGGACCACAGCTGGCACTGAGCTTCCTGCAAAGGACACAGAATTACAAAAAGCAGCTGGTCGCAGGCAGTGTGGAGAAAATACTAGGGGCGCTTCAGCCACACGGCTGTGCAGAGGAGGCTTGCGCCTTCTCGGGGCGGAGAGCAGATCGCATGACCGGGTCACCAGGGAGTCGCAGGAGAGGTGTCAAAGAGCCGCATGTAGCTCTCGGGCCACAGGTTGCTGACACCCAAGGATGGCCATCCATGCCCTGACAGCTGCCTCATCGTGGCAGCACCGGCACTCTTGCAGGAGGAGCCCACATGGCCGCTGGCCAACTTCTGTTTGTTCGTGGCCATAATTGAGCAGGAGGCTGAGTGTTGTGTTGATGTCGTGGCCACGAGGCGAGGCAGGTGTCAGGGAATGGACGGCCTGGCTGCAGGGCCCTAAGGTAGGGCAATATTGGGTGCATGGGGTGGCTCCACCCACCCCCGCCTCACCTCATGGCCGCAGCACTTGCACGTTGCTCTTTGTCATGCCCCCGTCAGAGTCTGAATCTGCTCGGGAAGATGAGCTAGAACAAGAACTGACAGAGATGGAGAGGCGCTCCTTTGGCCTTGGAGGCAAATGGGGAAGGGCAGAGTCAGTCCAGACAAGACTTTTCTGAATTAGTAAGGCCTGCATACAGGAAGAACTCAGGAGAAGAGCAAGGACTACAAGGGGTTAGGCCTGTTCTCTGGTTTTGTTGCTTTCGTGCCACTCCCTGGGTCATTACACTCGGCTTCCTGCTCTGTTGCGGCCGTGAGCAAGCAGAAGTGGGCTGGTGGCCATGCGGGGTCCTGCTGGATGGGGTTGCCAGAGCTGCCGGTAGGTAGTTGTCAGGGCATGGGTGGCCTGGCTGCGGGGCCTGAGCCAGTGCAGGACGCATGGGGCAGCTCCACCCCCTGCCTTGCAGCAGTGGCACTGGCACGCCGTGAGACCTCCTGCCCTGCCATGAGGAAGCAGAATTTGGGCCTCCCATACATGGAAAAAAAATAAGACACCCCCTGAAAATAAGCCCCGGTGCTTATTTTGGGGCCCAAAAGAAAATAAGACCAGGTCTTATTTTCTGGAAAACATGGATATATACAGTCAGGTCCAGAAATATTGGGACATCGACACAATTCTTTGGCTCTATACACCACCACAATGGAGTTGGAATGAAACAAACACTATGTGCTTTAACTGCAGACTGTCAGCTTTAATTTGAGGGTATGTACATCCAACTCAGGTGAATGGTGTAGGACTTACAGCAGTTTGCATATTTATTTTTTTATTTATTTATTTTTAAATTTGTATACTGCCCTTCTCCCTGAGGACTCAGGGCGGTGAACAGCCAAGTAAAAGCATAAACTACAAACATTAAAATACAATTAAAAAGATATATATAAATTTGGCCCCATGATTAAAAACAATAACAAACAATTAAAAACATTTTAAAAAGTGTTAGGCCAGCCCGGCTTGCTGGAAAAAGAAGATTTTAAGGGCACAGCGGAAGGCACCAAGGTCTTGGATTCTCCTTATCTCTGGGGGCAGCTGATTCCAGAGGGTAGGTGCCCCCACAGAGAAGGCCCTCCCCCTGGGGGTCACCAGCCTACATTGTTTGGCTGATGGCATCCCGAGGAGGCCCTCTCTGTGGGAGCGCACAGGTCGATAGGAGGCCGTCGGTAGCAGCAGGCGGTCTCAAAGATAACTAGGTCCTATGCCATGGAGTGCTTTAAAGGTGATAACCAACACCTTGAAGCGCACCCGGAAGACCACTGGGAGCCAGTGCACTCACGCAGGAGAGGTGTTGTATGGAAGCGCCATGCGGCTCCCGTGACTACCCGCGTGGCCACATTCTGGACCCGTTGGAGCCTCCAGGTGCCCTTCAAGGGGAGCCCCATGTAGAGAGCGTTGCAGTAGTCCAGGCTAGAGGTGACGAGGGCATGAGTGACTGTGCACAGGGAATCCCAATCAAGAAAGGGCCGCAACTGGCGGATCAGGCGAACTTGACCAAAAGTCCCCGTGGCAACAGCCGTCAGATGTTCCTCCAAGGACAGCTGTGTATCCAGGAGGACTCCCAGATTGCGAGCCCTCTCCAAAGGGGCGAAAGACTCGCCCCCAATAGTCAGTGATGGAGTCAACTGACTATATCGGGATGCCGGCAACCACAGCCACTCAGTCTTGGAAGGGTTGAGCTTGAGCCTGTGTCTCCCCATCCAGATCCGCACAGCCTCCAGGCACCGGGACATCACTTCAAGGGCATCGTTGGGGTGGCCTGGGGTGGAGATGTACAGCTGGGTGTCATCAGCGTACTGATGGTACTTCACCCCAAAGCCACGGATGATCTCGCCCAGCGGCTTCACATTAATGTTGAACAGAAGGGGCAAGAGGACTGACCCCTGAGGCACTCCACATATAAGAGGCCTCGAGGTCGACCTCTGCCCTCCTGCCAACATGAACTGCGATAGGTCTGAGAGAAAGGAGGAGAACCACCGTAACACGGTGCCCCCCATCCCCAACTCTTCCAACCGGTGCAGCATGATACCATGGTCAATGGTATCAAAAGCCACTGAGAGGTCTAACAGGGCCAGAACAGAGGAACAACCTCTGTCCCGAGCCCTCCAGAGATCATCTACCAACGCGACCAATGCCGTTTCCATGCTGTGCCCGGGCCTGAAGCCCAACTGGAGCGGATCTAGATAAGACGTTTCCTCCAGGTACTGCGGAAACTGTCGTGCGACCACACTCTCGACAACCTTCACCACAAAGCGAAGGTTGGAGACAGGACGATAGTTGGCTAATACTGCCGGGTCCAGGGAAGGCTTCTTCAGGAGAGGCTTCACCACTTCCTCTTTCAAGGCCGTGGGGAAGTAACCCTCACTTAACGAAGTGCCTCCCACTTGTTAAGGGACCAAAGGTAATGAGACAATTGGCTTCTCAGCTGTTCCATGGCCAGGTGTGTGATATTCCCTCATTACCCCAATTACAATGTGCAGATAAAAGGCCCAGAGTTCATTTCAAGTGTGTTATTTGCATTTGGAATCTGTTGCTGTCAACTCTCAAGATGAGATCCAAAGAGCTGTCACTATCAGTGAAGCAAGCCATCATTAGGCTGAAGAAACAAAACAAACCCATCAGAGAGATAGCAAGAACATTAGGCGTGGCCAAAACAACTGTTTGGAACATTCTCAAAAAGAAGGAACACACCGGTGAGCTCAGCACACCAAAAGACCCGGGAGACCATGGAAAACAACTGTGGTGGATATCGAAGAATTCTTTCCCTGGTGAAGAAAACACCCTTCACAACAGTTAGCCAGATCAAGAATACTCTCCAGGAGGTAGGTGTATGTGTGTCAAAGTCAACAATCAAGAGAAGACTTCACCAGAGTGAATACAGAGGGTTCACCACAAGATGTAAACCATTGATGAGCCTCAAAAACAGGAAGGCCAGATTAGAGTTTGCCAAACAACATCTAACAAAGCCTTCACAGTTCTGGAACAAGATCCTATGGACAGATGAGACCAAGATCAACTTGTACCAGAGTGATGGGAAGAGAAGAGTATGGAGAAGGAAAGGAACTGCTCATGATCCTAAGCATACCACCTCATCAGTGAAGCGTGGTGGTAGTGTCATGACGTGGGCATGTATGGCTGCCAATGGAACTGGTTCTCTTGTATTTATTGATGATGTGGCTGCTGACAAAAGCAGCAGGATGAATTCTGAAGTGTTTCGGGCAATATTATCTGCTCACATTCAGTGAAATGCTGCAGAACTCATTGGACGGTGCTTCACAGTGCAGATGGACTATGACCCAAAGCATACTGCAAAAGCAACCAAAGAGTTTTTGAAGGGACAGAAATGGAATGTTATGCAATGGCCAAGTCAGGCACCTCACCTGAATCCCATTGAGCATGCATTTCACTTGCTGAAGACAAAACTGAAGGGAAAATGCCCCAAGAACAAGCAGGAACTGAAGACAGTTGCAGTAGAGGCCTGGCAGAGCATCACCAGGGATGAAACCCAGCGTCTGGTGATGTCTATGCGTTCCAGACTTCAGGCTGTGATTGACTGCAAAGGATTTGCAACCAAATATTAAGAAGGGAAAGTTTGATTTATGATTATTATTCTGTCCCATTACCTTTGGTCCCTTAACAAATGGGAGGCGCATATGCAAACTGCTGTACGTCCTACACCGTTCACCTGAGTTGGATGTACATACCTTCAAATTAAAGCTGACAGACTGCAGTTAAAGCACATTATGTTTGTTTCATTCCAACTCCATTGTGGTGGTGTATAGAGCCAAAGATGTTAGAATTGTGTCGATGTCCCAATATTTCTGGACCTGACTGTATGTGTGTGTGGCTGTGTATGCATATGTGTGTATGTATGCATGCATGCATGCATGTATGTATGTATGTATATTGTGTGTGTAGTAGTTTAGTATGTGTGTGGGCAGTTTAACAAACATCCTCCAAATTCTATGTATACTCCTCAGTGGTAGGCCCTTTAAAATAAATGATTAAGTTTTCTTGATTATTTTCTTGCTCCCTTTGCTGACATAATTTGGTTCTAACTTGCTGTACAGAACATTCCTGAAGTAACTGGTATTTTCCTTCTTTCGTTTTCTTCCTCCCTTGCTTTAGTTTGCTGGTGGAAGTGGTCCAGGAACAAGCCCTGGGAGAAGTGTGCCACCAGTAGCACGGTCTTCACCACAACATTCCTTATCTAATCCCTTACCTGTAAGTACCTAACAGGATAGAGTAGTATTTTCTGAATCCATTTATAGATCTGTTAATACATACATGTGATAGAAACAATGCAGATCTTCTAGGGTTATATAGTAGTTTGCCTTCCTTTCCTTTCGTTCTATATTCTCAGCTTTTTGTCTAACACAATTCTGGATAGGTTTTAATTAAGACCTACTTCATATAACTAAGTCATATAATACAAGCAGCCCTTTAAGTGTGAGTAAATGTTGTTAAAGCTACAATCTAATACTGACAAATCCATATGTTAGTTTGTTATAAATGGACTCATATTAAAGGGAATTAAGAGGAAAATAATTGACTTTAAAGTTGACTTGATAGACTTATCCTTATGTCTCTGCTATTATGAAATATATGTATTCTGCCTTCCTTAAAAAGATTAATCTTGGAAGTATGACTAGTAAGAGTTTTAATAGTTTATTCAAATAAATTGAAGAAGAACATAATCACATTTTAGGCAAAATGTTTCAATGTGCAGGAATATAGTACACAGGTATATTTGCAAAAATATTCTATCCTGTATATGTTTAGTCATAGTTAACAGCTCAGTTCTGAAGTTTTATATTGCAGCTACCTTTTGTGCTTATTGTCAGGGGTTTTGTAATGATTTCTTATATCTGCCTCTCAAACAGAGGGCACCATTGGCAGATTTTTCTCAATATTCTATTTAAACACATGTTTGTTTTTCTCAGAGTCCAGGATGTGGCCCTTTACTAAGCCTGTTACTGTAAGAAAAAAAATGAGATGATGATATTTAAGGATTCTTGTGTAAACATTTTTTATTTAAATCCATTATCATATTATCTTTGTCAAGTCCTGAGAGACCTGAGAGAAAGCTTGAGTCCGGTAAATGATTCTAAGGATAGAGGGGCAGTGGAGCCTAAGAGTATTTGTTTGTTCTGTGTGTTAGTGTATGTGCATGCATGTGCACATGCCTGCCTACTGTCTTTGGCTTCTATTACTGTAAGGTAGCCAAAAGTATAAGGGTATTATAAAAATCAGTTTTTTCTTATGGAGAGAAAATGGCCAACTCTAAAGTTTCTGAAGAAAAGGTTTAATATAAATGTAACAAATACATTCCAGATGGAATATTTTAATGAAATATAAGAATACAGTGCATACAGTCAATAGGAATAGTTAACTTTTTAGTATCTGGAGGGGGAGGGCATCACTTTATTTTTAAAAAATCTTATATCCTCCATGGCTATAAGAACAGGTGGTAATTAATACGATGAGAAAGAGCGAAGACTTTTCCCCAGTGTCCAGTAATTTGGGAGATTTGATTCAAGTTTATGGAGGCTTCTGTGGATTTAATGCACTTATTTTCTTACCTTATTTTGTTTTAATTTAGAAAAATCACACAGAGAAATGAAGAATGTATTCAATGGTATCACATGAATCTAGGCTTCTGCTTCTCAAACATGCAACACTAAAATTTATATTCTATTTAAAAAAACCCTCTGATATCATTACATTTTGTTAAGAAAAATGTGAAGAGTACTCTAAAAGCACCATGGTTGCTTTCTTTAGATGTATACTAGCTTTGTGTCCAAGCTGCTGCATGGCTCAGTTTTATAAGTGTTTCCACATAACCTTTTTTTCTGATGATTTTCTTTAAACAGCGGCGAATGGAGCAACCACTTTACGGAGTAGACAGCAATGCAGCCAAGGAAGTACCAGAGGAGCATTCTGCTGCCCCAACTCTGGTATCAACAATGATGGCAAAACAGCGGTTAGAGGGCGAGCAGCTGGCGCAGAGGGGTACAAGCCTCTGTTTTCCATTTGCTTCGGTGAGCAAGGCTTAATGATCAAACTCAAGAGGCAAAATGGGACAACTCACCACAGCCAACTCACCACAGAATAACTCACTATGGAGCAGTTTAAGAATTCTATTATTTAAAATACATAAAAAATTATTTTAATTTTTGCCATTTACATTTCATTCTGTCCCTTCTATTCCACCATTTTTTTTGATATTAGTGTAACATTCATCCTACAACGAATTGTCCTGCGGCGAGTTGGCCGTGGCGAGTTGGCCGCAGCAAGTTGGCTGTGGTGAGTTGACCATGGTGAGTTGTCATAGACCCTTCAAGGGGAACTAAATGGATCTTGTATGATTGGACAGTATGTAGTCTCCATTGCTGCAATAGAATCTATTTTCTTTCTCTTTCTTAAAATTATTTTCTTGATTGCTGCAGTATAACAACAAAATAACAGTTGTTATAAGTATAATAAAAAAACCAACATAGAATTATTTTGGAATTATCCTTTATAAATTTATAATTATCCTTTATAAAAGTACCTACTTTTTGACAAAGATGTATTTCTTCTACATTGTTCATCTCTCATCTACATATTCCTGCATTTGCATGTTTTCCATGCTAACATGATGATGAAATATTACTTCAAAGGCTCAAAAGCTAAATTTCCCAATATATTAAAATTATTACTTACTATTTTCTGGGAATTTTAGATGTTGGAAGTAATGATAAGCTACAGTATAATTCATTATTATAAACAAGTTGTTTCGAAGATGAATCAAAATTGTTTCTATAAAATTATGGAATGTTAATTTGGGGCTATTCAATTTAATTTAGAAGCCAATCATTTCTTATCTCAAAAAAATTTATTTCTCATCAATCATCCAGTTATTTCTGCAATGCTTTTCAAATTCTATCTTGATAAGTAGGTATATATAACTTCTAAAATTAAAATATAACAATTTTAATTTTAGAGGTAATTTATTCAACTCATTGTCACAGAAGCCAGCATTTTGTCAGACTAAAAAATAAAATAATAAATAATAACAAATCTAAAAACTTATTTGAACAGTTTCAGTGAAAACAGTAATTAATGCAGTTCATGTTATTTGTGTGAGCAGAAAAACTTGAACTTTGATTAAGACAAGAGTTATAATCCAAGATGAATCATGTCTTTATACAGAAGTTTAAAAAATATTCCTGATCTCTCTTATCAGATTATCTCTGGGTGCAGAATTAGAAAAAAAAAACCTGGGTATGCAACCTGCTGCCTCTTAAAGTTGACCATGTACAGCTAGTTAACTTGAAAGTTTTTTCTTTCAAATAACAGTGAGGAAGAATGTGTTTTGTAAAATACTGTACCTACAACTTACCTACTGCTTCTCTTGTTACAGACCCAGCAAGGCAGTCCCTCATCTGCAGTTTCAGGAAACACAGAGCATTCCTGCAGCTCTCAAAAACAGATTTCCGTCCAGTACAAACAGACACAGGTACAAGACAAATGAATTACATAGTGCAAAGTTATATCTGATTAAAATCAAATATATGTCCATTTGAGAAATAAATGGAAATATATTCTTGTTTCTCTTTAGATCATATAAATCTTTCACCTTTTACTAGAAAAAAAATGGAAACTTATGATGTAAGGATATAATATGTCCACAAGAAACTTCAAACTTATTCAATTATGATCATTCCATCTAAGAACATTTTAGCTTGAGAGGCTGCCTTGAAGTAAAGTAGTCTCCATTGGACAACAAATTCCAGAATAATTTTACTGTTGTTCCTGCCTCAAACTTTCAACTTCTATCTTGCTCTTTAATCAGCAGCCTCTCCCCTTTGAGCAATTAACATAATCTTTCGTTTTGCTTTATCAATGAAAACGATGTTAGTTCTGTTTTTTTCCACTTTGTAAAATGGACATTCAGTTCATATTTTGGCTAAAGATTTGCTCACACTTTTACATGGTAAATTTTATTTAACTTAGGTTTCTCAGTTTTTTAAAGGATTCATTTGCCTGGATCAGGACAATATTGGAATATTTTTCTTTTAAAATTTATGCCACCTAGGAAGTTTCTTGCTTTCATCTTTGTTGTTGATTGCTTTACAATTATAACTTTAAATATCAATTCATTCAAGCCCCATTATAGCATTATATAGCTGAGGATATGCAAGGAACATTTTGCAATCAGAGGACAATGTCTTTTAGGCAACCTAATTTGCCATTTTCAGAATATTTAAAAATCACCTTTGTTTAGTTATTGTTTAGTTTTTAGCCTTTTCACAAGGCTAGAACATGTATCAAACTTTGTTGTTGCTCTGCTTTGTTTCTTTAGATCTTTCATTTGTTTGTTATATATGTTATGCTATGCTATTTTTGTTTAAAATATCTATTACTCCCTTCTTCTTCTCCTTTTTCCTCTGTCTGAGACATCTAGCTATTTGGAAGCATTCACATCCCAAATGTCTAAATTATATCCCTCTGTCACTATTTTAGTGAACACTAATGTTGCTTTTTTGGGACATAGTAATTGTGAGCTTGCCTCAGCCACTTCTCTAGAAAAGAACAGAACTTTATATGCTGATACTTATTGCCATGTATGCAAAAATAAAGATGCAAATCCCAGTTCAGTTACACTTGGGTTAGCTAGGTTGAAGAAAATTATCACAGTAATCATGTAGTACTGTAATCTACTGGTAGATATGCTGTGCATACCTCTACCTGTAGGGCTTCTAATGTGGATCGCAGTAATCAAGTCTCAAAATTTTATCAGCTTGCCAAGTTTTCAAGGGCTACCATTTTATTGGTAAATTTCCCAAAACCATGCAAGTGTGATGGGGAAGTATAGAAATTTTATAAATATAGTATCATGAACCTATAGTAGGTTTTGGCTGAATGAGGAAGTAATCCGGGAATCTTAATCTTCAAGATGGTGATACTATTATTGCAGCATTTTCCTATGCAATATGAGCCTTTTCTAATCCAAATCTAAAGCGCTCTTATGTAAAATGCATAGGAAAACTGAAGACCCTGTTCACAGGCAAATTGTAGACACTTGTCATAGTTCCATTGGTTTTAAAGCTTCTATAGCACCCCTCTTTTATGGATTGAATCATCTGGGAGATGATTTAATTCCCTTTATTTCACAAATGTTTATAAGTTTGTGGAACTCAAGAACATTGTGGCCTGGTTATGTTTCTTTCCTTGATTTATTTATCAATCTTGAAATAGATTGTTTTCCCAGCCTTGTTATTCATTCAGTAACTGGAGCATAGCTGCATAGAAAATCATTTCTTAAGAACTTTTTTTTTCCCCTCCCAAGTCTGATCTTACAATGGAGAAATTATCTGCATTAGAAAACAGTAAGAACTCTGATCTGGAGAAAAAAGAAGGCAGAATAGATGATTTATTAAGGGTAAGTAGTTGTAATTCTACATCCTATATTCAAATTTCAAGCCATAGAATCTATATAATATAAATATAGGTAAGAGGTTAAGAGTATCATTTAATAGTTATGGAAATAGAAATAGGCTGTCATGGAGAAAATCTAGGCAATTGCTAAGGGTTGACATTGATTTGATGACATATAATCAGTTACATGTAAAATCCTTGATAAGAAGGAAATTGTATTCTCTCTTGATAAATATATATCTCTAGATTCATTCTAGAGCTTTTCAATCTTAATATTCAAACAATCTCCCTCCTTTTTACATTTCTATACAAACTATTTTTTAAATTTGAAAGTTCTATGAAAATCTCTCAAAGGATAGTCATGGTAATTTACTGCATCAAAAAATACTAAAATAGCTTGTGATACTTAATAAAAAATAAAATAAAAATAAAATCATTAAATGGATTGTGTTCTGATAACTCTTTTGTAATAATTAGTTTTAACATGCAAAGCATTTTCCTTAAACACAATCAAATCCTAACACATAAGTTTCTTACAATTGAACAATTACTTTTGATGAAATAGTAATTCTATGTATTCCAAATAGTTGAACAACCTGAAATTTTGTTATTGTCTTCTGTATATTCCTGAATACCATATAGAGTATTTTAATTTCAGTTTATAGTTTCAGATGGAACTGGTAGGAAAAGTTAGTTTTTCAATTGCCTTTCTGTGTGGGAAAATTCTCACATCTATCAAGTCCATTAACAAAGTAATTGGAATAGTTTGGAGCTCTTACAGAATTCAGATCTAGTTTTTTTTTTTCTTTCTTTGCAAATAATTTCTTTCCTTAATTTTCATCTTTTCTATATTCTTCTCCCTCACCCCAATATGCACATGTTCCCTACTGGAGAAACTTAAGAATAATCTGTTTACTCAATTTTGAATTGTCAGTTTAGGACAATTCTGAAGAATTTCTCAAGGGGAACATTTTCTCTTCTAAGCTATTGTTTTCCTCCAGTTTTTGAGAGAAATTTCTCTTTCAACAAGGAATATTCCATATGGCTAACTCCAGCCTTAAGAGTAGAAATCAACATAGTGCCAGTGGTAGCCTGCAAGATGTTTTCTCAATCCTTGTCCTCATTATAGGACAGGAAGGAATTGGATTATATAGCCTGCAAAAGTTATCTATTTGAAATATTTGTTAGGTTAGAAAGATAGGCGGAATCATCCATTTCTAAAGGGAACTAATAAAGCTTTCTGAAGAAGAGATGGAATCTTCTCCTCCTATTAATTATCTTTTCCTAACATTTTTCTCATATAGTATTATTATACTACAGTTGCCAAGGACTAGGAAAAGATGTGTGATTTCAGATCTCCAGATTCCTATACACCACTCAAGTTCCTTGCATTTCCTTCCCAGAAATCTCTGTGGATGTTTTAAAAGCAGAACAGCTTCAACCATTAAACCCACACAAACATGATTTGCTTCTTTCCTTCCTTTATGGCACAAAGTGTTTTTTAAAGTGTCTTGTAACCTCAAACAAATTCAGAAAGCATTAAAATCCAGGTAGCATCATCCTTTGAAAATATTTTCTAGTTTGTATTGATTATCAAAGGCATGTGTTTACATTCTAGTACGATAGGGACACCTTTGGTACACTTTTACTATAAACATCAACATTAATCGAGTCAGACATACATTGAAAATGGAAGAAACATTTCTACATGTTTGGACAGCATTGCACTAAAGCAGTATTAGAACATAAATGCCCTTTTTTCAGATATCCTTTGCCTATTTGAAAAATCATGGGGGTGATTGCAGAACTGCAGGGGACCTCTCTAGTTTCTTCACACTTCTATAGTATTTGGGAGTTATCAATATACCCAGTTTAGTTCTACATATTCTGATCAGAAAAGGGGACAGAAGTCATTAAAAGGAGCCAGGAGATCTTAGACTTTTTTCTTTTGAGTATAATAGTGTCTTAACAGCCATAGATTGTTGGTCCATCAAGCATCCTTCATAGTGATAATTTAGCAGAGAAAAGGAACTGGATTGCATTGGCATAGCAGGATGTCTCCTTAAGAATTCAAATAGCAAATAAGCCTTTGTAACATTTGTATATATGGTATATCAGATTGGACAGCCCATGTTAAACCTTTTTGGAACCAGGAGATACATCAAAACATTAACATGTCAAGGTTCCCAAGATAGCAAACTGAACTAGCTAGAAACATTTGGATGTTACTAGACTTATGTCTTTCCACTTTTTGAGTTTGTGACTTTCCACTTTGACTTTTTGGACAACAAAGCACAAATTATCTTTATAGCAATCTGTTGGCATAAATAGCCTTGATTTATCAACATAGAGGATTCGGTAAGAAAAAAAAATCAGTAAATTTGGGGAAGGATCTTCTGTTTCAAGATCTAATCATTTATCCAGTATCTCAGTTCTTATCAAGTGACACAATATTAGTTGCACGAAATATTATTGTAGGCTGTACTTACTTTCTTCTCTTCTAGTTTATGTGGGATAGCCTTCCTAATGCATTTCCCTAGACACAATTTCTCCACATTAAATTTCAGCCATATCTTTATAGTTCTAGTGTAGGGCTGTCAAACTCGTGACCTGCAGGCTGGATGCATTCATGCGTTTAGCGAAGGGGAAAAACGTCCCGCTACATCACATGATGCCGCTGTGACAGCGTGAGTTTGACATCCCTGTTCTAGTGGGTTCTCTTGTTGAATTTATGGTTAACTGATCAATCAAATTACTGATACTTGACTGGTTATTACATTGACCAGAAGAGTTTTAAAAGTTGGGGCCTTAGCCTCAGTACATATCCTGAGTCTTTTTTTCTTATGAACAAAGTTTTCTGCTAGAGTTCTCCCTATTTGTCAAGGTCCATCCTACTTCTAATGGTTCACATAGCTTGTATATAATATGCTTGAATTCTTAACTGGATAGAATATTGAACTTCAGGAAAAGTGAACCATTGTAGTCTTTCAAGGAAAGTTAGTGGACATAAAAATTTTGTATCTCCTGTTAATGGATGGTTATCAGTTGTGCTTAATTGTAGCCTATCATCCATCAAAAATAGTATTTATTCTCCTAGAGGAATAGCTGTCTTTTGAGATAATTTCCCTATCAAAAGTGATATGTGAAGTCAACATTAATTTCAGTAGTTTATACTTTCTTCAAATTATATAAAATTGGTAAATTAAGTTCAGCAGCAATATTTGACTACTTCCTACAAAGTACAGTAAAACAGGAATATTGATCCCTGGTAGGCATCTCTTTGGTCCCCTGTTCTGATAGACTCTTAAAATATAAAATGCTGTCTATGATGCTGAAGAAAATGTGGAAATTTAGATTTCTATATACTACAAAACATTCGTATCTCTTGTCTATTCAGTTGGGCAAAACAGTACATCATAGGGCAATCACATTTTTGAACTAAGATACCTTCTTTGACATCAGAAATCAGGTAGACTGGTTCCCACCCTAGGCCTCTGGATGCTGGATAGCATTCTCATGCATACTAGTTCTGTCATTGGCTGACAGAAGGTGATTAGCTGCAGTTAAGTTGGCAGGAAGTTGGAAGTTGTTCCCACTACTTTTTTCCCCTTGGTTATTCTGTTTCTCTGTTAGAGGTAGAGAAATATTTCTGAAATGACCCAACGGATTACAGGTTGTCTAGAACATCTAAATTTGTTCTCTAAACTTCATAAAACCCATCTATTCTAAAATCAACTTTTAAAATTGGGAGGGGTGTTATATATTTATTTTTGCAATTTTTATGTTTCAGTCTTAAAAGAATGAAGCAGTTAATACTATTACTATGGAAGAGGAATGGCAAAGAAAGCATTCTTAGCTGACCTGGAAATTGATCTTGTTTTTTTATTGTTTCTCTGGTGTTGCTAATAATGGTTTCTAAATGTAAGTCGTCTGATTTCTAAAAGAAATAATAATTCTGGGTTGAGAAACTACATTGATTCTCCAGTTCAGGAGGAGCCAGGATGGTTCCTCCACCTGGAGAGGCAATGACAAAATGGACCTCTTGGTCCAAAATGAACTTGCTCTAGGAGATATGAATTCCCCTCCTTGAGATTCAAACAATTGAGGTAAATGGTAAATCCAAATTTATTGTGTGAATGAGAATCCTTTTTTATTGTATTTGATGATTGTTAATAGTTTTAAATTTTTTTCTCATCCATGCAAAATAATGAATTGTAAATAACTTAGGGTAATTTTGTTCACCTGCTTGATATTTTATTTTCAGGCAAACTGTGATTTAAGACGACAAATAGATGAACATCAGAAAATGCTTGAGAAATACAAAGAACGGTTAAATAGGTGTGTAACAATGAGCAAGAAGCTACTTGTAGAAAAGGTGAGTTACAACCAGCAAAACTTGTTTTGAAGTTATATCCCCATAACCTGCATAATTAGGAAACTCATTTGTTTCAGATAATAACTATAGAAGTAGCAGTAATAATAATATACCACATAGTTGGATCATCAAATGTTTGGAGTCAACTGGTATCAATAAAAAACATCAGAATGTTGAAAAAATAATGAAGCAGTAGAAGATAGAATTGGTGGTAAATATTTAATGATTAAATAGGTGTGTAACAATGAGCTCTGTGATCGTTGTAAACATGCACTAATTGTTGAGTGACCAAATCATGACCACATGATCTTGTGAATGCTGCAATGACTGCATCTTCAAGGACAAGTCATAGGTCTCCTTTTCCAGATCCTCCATAATTCTAACAAATGATTGGTAAGCAAGGAGTACCTGTATGTCTTTTACATAGAAATCTAAAATTGCCAGACCTTTGGGAATCAACTTTGTTTTGTTCATGTTGATATCGATTTTGATTGAGTAACATTACAGTATTGTAAATTGCCCAGACTTGCATTCTTAAGACGGATGACTTACAAAGCATTTAAATAAATAAATAAATAGGGATACTTTGCAAAGCATACAGATACTTTACTTATTCCTTTACAGTCAAAACAGGAAAAGATGGCTTGTCGAGATAAGAGTATGCAAGATCGATTGCGTTTAGGTCACTTTGCTACAGTCCGGCATGGAGCCTCTTACACAGAACAATGGACAGATGGCTATGCTTTCCAGAACCTAATCAAGTATGTATGTTTATATCATTCTGCTTTCTCCAGAAACAGAAAAGATCACTGGTGATTTACTTGGTGTTTTTTTTTTATATTAATCCATATATAACTTACAATATTTGTGACTACTGTTCTCTATTAAATAAAAGTTTGTATGAAATCAGGAAAGGAGATGTACCATTTACTGAAACAAAAAGAATTCTCCATAATATTTATAACAGTAAATGCAACAACAATCTTACAAATATAGTACAGGGAGTCCTCAACTTACGACCACAATTAAGCCCAAAATTTATGTTATTAAGTGAGAAATTTTTTCAGTGAGTTTTGCATCATTTTATGACTTTTCTTGCCACATTTGTTAAGTAAATCACTGCAATTATTAAATTAATAACAGGGTTCTTAAAGGAATTTGGCTTCCCCATTGACTTTGTTTGTGACAAGAGTGCAAAAGGGGTCACATGATTCTGGAACACCACTGTCCTAAATGTGAGTCAGTTGTCAAGCATCCAAATGTAAATCACGTGACCATGGGGATGCTGCAATGGTCATAAGTGTGAAAAATGGTCATAAGTCACTTTTTTCAGTGCCATTGTAATTTCAAAAGGTCACTAAATGAACTGTTGTAAGTTGAGAACTGCCTGTATAAGAATGCTTATGCTGCTAGTAAGTAATGCTTACCTAACATATATAATGCTTACCTATCATAATGCTTACTTATCATATATAATTAGAAAAATGGTAATGCCAGGAAAAGAACAACTAGAGTTGGCAGTTCAAGAGTTGAACAAGTCTGCATCATATCTTTATCAGTTTTATCAGCTTCAACAATATGGATATCTATTTGACCAACGCTGAAGGCTCAGAATGCAACCTTTCTTGCGAACAGTAGGAAAATGGGGAGGGGGATTTTCCAGCTGTTCGTCAAAAAGGCTCCATTCTAAGCCTTCAGCATTGCAAACCTGGGACGTGCGTCCTTTTCTCAAGTAACATTTGATCGCTTGAAGAGACAGGGTTTGCCCGGAGAGAAGGAACGAGAGGCAGCTCCCGGCCCTCGCTGGCTCAGCTGATCCATGAGCCCCGATTAAGGTGCCGAGCAGCCATGAGGTAGCCGGGGAAGGTAAGGGCTGCCTCCTGTGCTGGCCACGCCCATTCCCTTCACTGGGGCTTATTTTTAGGGTAGGTCATATATTAGGCCCACCCCAAAAAATCAGGCTAGGGCTTATTTTTGGGACAGGTCATTATTTTCAGGGAAACATGGTAGCAAGTGCATTTAGAAGCCTTATTCATATTTGTTATATGCCTTTGAATGCTACACTTTTTAAAATAACAGGAATAGATTAAAGTTTAATTACATCTGTTAGCATGATAATTAATTATTATAACTTATATGTATCTGAAATATGAAAAAATGATTTTTAAAAGGCTTTAATTCTGCAGCTGCAAAATCCAGGCCTTGTTTTGTAAATAAAGGTGCATTTGTATGCAGAGGTTGCTTTGTTGTTAGGCAGACTAGCGGGAACATTTTCTTCTCAAACATTGCAACCTATGGTAAACTTGGGACAATGGACATTAAGTGCTTGGATATATAGGACTAAATCCAGATTTATTTAAGAGTTGGGTGCAAAAATATAGCCATCCCTGACCAAATTGTAAGACTTGAAACTATATTTATCTGCATGATAAATATAAATCTCTTTCTACAAATTTACATTTGCATATACTTACTTAGCTGTGTATAGTTATGTACAGATTTTAAATATGAAAACAAAGAAGTTGCAAAAAATACCTTAACAGTTAGTACCGTATTTTTCTGTCTATAAGACCCACTTCTCCCTCCCCACCAAAAAAAGTGGGTGGAAATGTCTGTGCGTCTTATAGAGCGAATGTTGCCAAAGCCCTGCCCACCTGCTGGCCCCCAACCTTCAGCCTCTACCTCCCAGCAATTTGCCTTCTTGCAGCAAACAGCCTAGTCAGCTTCAGCATAGTCTGATTTAGCACGAGAAGCTGATTGGCAGTTGGATTGGCCTCCTGGAAAACAGCCGATCATCTGTTCCATTCTGCGGGAATCGCCGCCCATCGCCGCTGCCACCTATCACTACCTCCGCGTGCCCCATTTTCTGCCTCTGTGTGTCCCATTTTTGGCCTGTTCCAGGCAGAGGAGATTGCTACCTATTACCGCTGAATGGCACTGACGGCAATCCCTGTCACCTGGAACAGGCCGAAAACAAGGAACATGCGGAGGCTGAAAATGGGATGCGTGGAGGCCAAAAATGGGACCGTGGAGGCAGCGACAGGTGCCGGTGATCCCCACAGCCTGGAACAACTGATTGGCGGTATTCTGGGAGGCCAATCTAACCGCCGATTAGCTGCTCGTGCTAAATCAGGCTGTGCTGAAGCTGACCAGGCTGTTTGCTGCAAGGAGGCAAATTGCTGGGAGGCAGAGGCAGATTTTTTTTTGTCTTATTTTCCTCCCCAAAAGCTAGGTGTGTCTTATGATCCAGAGCGTCTTATAATGCGAAAAATATGGTACTTTGTAACACCACCTTTGGTAAAAAATAACAGCTTCCAAATATTTCCTATATCCAGTTAAGAATTTTTCTGGAAATTTTGCATTTCCCCATTCTTCTTTGCAGAACTCCTCTAGTTCAACAATATAATAAGCAAAGACTTTGTTGGGCTGGTGGAACTGTTTAGTTTTCCTACTCCTCAAATACCTTATCTCAAAAAGGAAAACAAACGACTAGGCTTCTTAATAATCATGCATAAAATAACTGGTTTCTTATGTGGTATGCAAGATAGAAAAGAAATAGAAAGGAACATATACCTGTCTGAGGGTAAACTCAACAACTGATAAGGCTAAAAATATTTTTTTTCCATAAAGAAAATTAAGGCAGTTGTCGTGCCCCCTAAAGATTAGCTTCTTCATTTGAAAACTCTCTGCAACTATAAACACTTTTTATATTTAAAACCAAGGCCCTTATAATTATTTCTTAGAAACTGGATTTACCATTCAATCTGTTGCTTGATAATAGCCAGCTACATTTTCAAAGCCCAAGCTTTAAAATATTTAATCTTCAAAGGATTGACAGATTACCAGAAATGTTTGGGTGTGCCTACCAAAGGATGTAGAAGACCAACCATATATTGGCATATATTATTTTATATTCTCTAATAATGTCCATGTTCTACTTTTATATAGGCAGCAAGAAAGGATAAATTCCCAAAGAGAAGAAATAGAAAGGCAACGGAAAATGTTAGCAAAACGAAAACCACCTGCTATGGGCCAGGTTCCTCCATCTACCAATGAGCAAAAGCAACGCAAAAACAAAACCAATGGAGCAGAAAATGAGACGTAGGTGGCACAAACATTTCAGAATCCTTTCTGGGGCTGTCAAACAGAAGGAACTTCTTAGGTTTTACCCAAGTAGGCCTCCTCAGATTCTGTGTTTGGGATGAAATTTCTCTCCACAATTATATTGGTTTTTGTAGACTGAAGGCCATATTTGACATTTGAGTGGCAGGCCCAGGCCTACTTTCCAAAAACTAATCAGACTTGGAACAAAAAGTGAATGGACTCTTTTCAGCTACTTAATTGAATTGATGGGGCTAATTTATTATTCCTTATGAATGTAATGATAATGTCCTATTACCGTGATGGCGAATCTATGGCACGCATGCCACAGGTGGCACGCGGAGCCATATTAGTGGGCACGCCAGCTCAGCTCTGGGGCACATGCGTGCGCCGGCCAGCTGATTTTCAGGCCTTCTGGGCCCACCAGAAGTAGGGAAACTGGCTGTTTCCTGCCTCTGGAGGGCCTGGGGGCGGGGTGGGGAAGGCCCGTTTTTCTTTCTTACCTGGCTCCAGATCCTCTCTGTGTATCTTGAAAGGGCGAAAACAGCCTTTCCCTCTCCCTTGGAGGCCCTACGGAGGCTGAAAGGGCCCATTTCCCGACTCCCGGTGGGACAGGAAGTAACGTTTTTTCCTGTCCCCAGCCTCCAGAGGCTCCTAGAGACTCCTAGAGAGGTTCTGGAGGCTGGGGACAGGAAAAAATGTCACTTCCTGTCCCACCGAGAGTTGGGAAATGGGCCCTTTCAGCCTCCGTAGGGCCTCCAAGGGAGTGGGAAAGGCTGTTTTCGCCCTTCCAGATACACAGAGAGGATCTGGAACCAGATAAGAAAGAAAAATGGGCCTACCAGGCCATCATGTGCCAGGAGCGGGGGGGGGTTGCGCACGCATGCGTTTGGGCACATGCGCGCGCGACCCTCCCCCGTCCCCCCTTTCCTGGCACGCAATGGCAAAAAGGTTAGCCATCACTGTCCTATCACAATCAAAAATAGACTTTGTTGTTAAGTTTCAATGGACTCCGAAGGTTGCCTATGGCATCTGGATATATTCATCTGTATAGATCACCTTTCTTGGTATAAGGCATTCCTAATTTTTGAACCACTTATTTTATTCATGTACAGGTTAACATTAGCAGAATATCATGAACAAGAGGAAATATTTAAACTCCGGCTAGGTCACCTTAAAAAGGTAAAAAGATACATTATAACTTCAAATATGCATTGAATTATGTTTTTGACTTCCTACTTGTTCTAGTTCTTGGTTATTTGTTTCTTTACTGATTTACATTTGTTTATTCTCTGAGAGTGTAGATCCTTCTGTGAAATTCTCTATCTCAAACTTTATAGCTATCTGTTTCTAAACACCCAAAATTCTAGCTCTTATACAAGTGGTTTTCAAAAAAATTAGGAAATATTTTACACAGAGCCATGTTTGTGAGTCTATTTTAGCACAATATGAAGAAATTTGGAAGATTATTTAATGCATAAGGTCAATTTATAAGCAAAATTGGCAGATTCTTAGTTTTCGCTGCACACCTGCATAAACCAAAGCTGTATTCTAAAGCAATAAATAAGATGCATTGCTAAATAAAATTAACAATGATGGGCATTTTTAACAGAATAAAAAGTTGGAAGTGACCTTGGAGGTCTTCTAGTCTAACCCCCTGTTCAAGCAGGAAACTCTTTGCCATTTCAGGCAAATGATTGACCAGTCTCTTCTTAAAAATCTCTTCTTAAAAAGCACCCTCAACTTCTGGAGGCAAGTTGTTCCACTGATTAATTCTTGTAACTTTTTTTTTAAGGAGAATTGTTTGCCTTTTTTTTTTTTTTGCAAAAACAATTTTTATTTTAAAACAAAAATATAACATAAAACCATCATAATTCCAAACAATTACAGACAGTGTGTCAATCTGTTAACATCCTTTTGTGCTCAGTCCCATCATCAAAATATCAATATATGACCAAAGCTTATTTTCATAAAGAAATATTTCACTTATTTTATCTCATCTTCACTTGATATTTCATATTTATCTCCATATTTTATTGTCTATCCATTGATAAAATAAATCCCATATCAAATAATATTGTTTATCTTCCTGTTCTCTTATTTCAAATGTCAATTTGCTCGTTTCAGCACAGTCCATCATTTTCTTAATAACTTCTTCATCAGTAGCTATCTTTTCTCCTTTCCAGTTTTTAGCAAATACAATTCTAGCCGCTGTTAAAACATTCACAATTAAGTATTGCAGTTCTTTATTATATGTCTCTGGCAATATCCCTAATAAAAATATCTCTGGTTTAAAGTCAATATGTCTATCATTTTTTCCAACCACGTGTGTATCTTAGTCCAATATCTCTTAGCTTCTGCGCATGTCCACCACATATGGTAATAAGATCCTGGAATCTGATGACACTTCCAACATTTCTCTGATTTATTCTTGAACTTTGTGGCTATCCTCCTCAGGGGTAAATGCCACCTGTAAAACATCTTATACAAATTCTCCTTATATGCTGTAGACATTGTCATTTTATAATTATGTGACCACAGTTTTTGCCATTTCTCTAAATGAATACCATGACCAAATTTTCCCCCCCATGCTATCATTGATTCTTTAACTTGTTCTTTTTCCAATTTTACCTCTAACAAATATCCATATAGCTTTTTAATTACATGATCATCAGAACCCATTAAAATCTTATCTAGATTAGTCAAAACATAAAAACCTTCTTGTTTGAGATCTTCATCATATCTAAAGCGTATTTGCATATATGAAAACCAATCCATCTTACATCCCTGATCTTCTAGATCTTGCTTTAATTTAAGTTCACCCTTTTCATCCAATAATTCACTATATCTAACAATTTGTTCTCTTTTAAATATTACTGAATATGAAAAAGCTTCAATTGTAGATACCCAGACTGGAATCTTCAAATAATAATGTTTTTTAACCTTCTCACAATTCAACAATAAAGCTTCTCATATCTGGTGCCTTCTAAAGTACCCCTGTATTTTTGTTCCTTTATACCATAAAAAGGCATGCCATCCCATCAACAAATCATGTCCCTCCAAATTCAATAATCTGGTGTTTCTCAAAATTATCCATTCTTTAATCCACATTAAACTTGCTGCTTGGTAATAAAGTTCAAAATTAGGCAGGCCAAAACCACCCCTCATTTTAGCATCTTGTAATAATTTTAATTTTATTCTCGTCTTCTTTCTCTGCCAAATATATTTCAACATCATTTTATTCAAATCTACAAAAAATTCCTTACCCAACTTGATTGGAATCATCTGGAATAGGTACAAAATTCTAGGCAAAATATTCATTTTGATAGTTGAGATCCTACCAAAGATAGCTGCAGATTTCCCCATTTCACCATAATCTTGCCCTATCTGTTGCTTAAGCTTGTTATAATTATTTTATTTAAGTGCACTACATTTTGCTGTCAAATATATCCCCAAGTATTTTACCTTATTTGTGAGCTGCATCTTTGAAATCTCCATCAATTCCTCTTTTTGCTTTTTCAACATATTTTTAGTTATTATCTTTGTTTTATCTTTATTAATTTTCAAGCCAGCTACTTTCCCAAACTCTCCAATGTTTTCTATCAATTTATTTATTGTTATTAATGGTTCTTCAATAATAAAGACCAGGTCATCTGCAAAGGCTTGTAATTTATATTCTTCTTTTTGAATTTTCATACCTTTTATCTCTTTTTCTTCTCTAATATTTCTATTTAAAACTTCTAAAGTCAATATAAACAACAGTGGGGACAACGGGCATCCTTGTCTAGTACCTTTTTCTATCTCGATAGAATCAGTCAATTCTCCATTTATCATTACTTTTGCTGTCTGCTCAAAATATATAGCTTCAATTGCCTGAATGAATTTCCTGCCAAAGCCCATCTCTTCCATTTGGAACGTCATGAATCGCCAATTTACATTGTTAGTTGTTTGCCATTATTGATCCTTTATTTTTAGGAACTTCTATCATTGAAGAACCATTTTAAAATTGCTGATAATAAATAAATTGGCTGCTTTCCTCAGTAACAAAAGAAGAAAGAAAACTGTTCTTTTTTTCAATGTTACAGTTTTAGACCACTATCAGGAAACAGAAGATTTTTCTGCTTTTTTTATTTTGTAATAACACAGTGCTGTTTGTATTCTGTTCACAACAGACTAACCTCCTAAGTAATTCTACTTTGTTGTAGTAAAGTATCCGAGGATTTTTAGATAGATGGTAAATATAGGTAAATATGTTATGCAGACAAAATAGACCTCTTACAATATTAGTACTTGAGCTCACCCATTAAAACTAAATACAGGAAATTTTAACACAAGTGAAAGTACTTTTTTAGAAAATGGATTATTTAAATAAGTTTGATCAATCTCCATTCAAAACTAAGAGTAGAATGAGCTATCAGTTATTATTAATCTTGATGGCTGTTTACCTTTGGAAATACAGTCAGCATATCTTAGAAAACTAATAGAGTTCTTGAATTTTTGAGCCTACATTTTTATAATTATCTTGTAAAAAGTATGTTTTGTGATAAATTCATCTAAGAAAAATTAGAATGAAATCTTCTATAAAAGAAAATGGAAAAAGAAAAACGAGAACAAATGTATTCCCCCCATTTATAATATCAGAACAAAACATATTACCAGAAATGCTCTCTCTCCTTTGGCAAGTTTACACAAGGAGTTAGGAAATAATAATATGTTATTCCTTGCAACATTGCAGCAAATTATAAATAAGTGAGTGAGCATTAGTGAAAGGATTTCTCAAAACTTTGGTAAGGACACAAAAGAGTTGCAAGTGAAAATATAGAGATGACAGAATAGCTCAGTAAAGCAAGAGCCATGCAAAATTCAATATCTCCTTCCAAAAACTTCTTGTCATCTAAACAGTTCAAACGCTTTTCAAGCCAGACAATTTTGGTTCATAATATTTTTGTCTATAGATGATTAGTATATTGTAGGATGTGTTAGTCAGTAATTTGCAGGCCACTGTCAAGTCCAGTGTTCAGATGTTTTCTCATTGTCTTTTCATTTACTTTCATGACATCTTTCCCTGTGATTGGGGAATACTGTGTAAAGGAAAGCCATTCTGCAGAAATCCTTATCAGGCAAATTTGGTTTAAAATCCACAGTACAGCAGTTTACAGTACAGTAAAGTGATGTTTCTCTTTGTACAGGAAGAAGCTGAGATTCAAGCAGAATTAGAGCGATTAGAACGGGTTAGAAATCTGCATATCAGGGAATTGAAAAGGATACATAATGAAGACAATTCACAGTGAGTATTGGCCATAAGAGAGAAGCAAATTACAATCTTGTGAAAGATGACTAGCTTGTTAAAATATACTAGAAATATTTCCTTGGAATTAACTTTGTTTAGTATTAATATTTATTAAATGCATATAATCTGACTCCTAGTTACTTTGGGTAGTATATCCTTCCAAATGACAATGTAAACAACAAAACATAAAGATAAAAGAAAACAGGACAAAATGTGTTTGTGGTGGGCAGTGCAAGATTCAGAGAAAGTTTGGCTGTATTTCAACAAATCTAGCTTTGCCTGTGAAATAGATTGCCAATTCACTTGCATACTTAAACCTTTCTACACATTATAGGCAGAGAGCTTCCATTTGTCAAATCACTTACCTTTTTGGATGATTTGCTTAAGACTATGTTCTAACCATTATATGGATAAAAGTCTCCTGTTCTCTCCCCATTAGGTTTAAAGACCACCCAACACTAAATGATAGGTATTTGTTGTTACATCTCCTAGGCAGAGGAGGATTTAGTGAAGTATATAAGGTAAATTAAATCACCTTTCTATTTTGTTTGATTAAATCTTGTAGAAACCAAAGTCTTACGTTTTTTAAACTTCTATCTTTGTGTTCTAAGGTGTCTGTCAATCTAAGTAAACTTACTTGGCTTGAGAAATCAGTAGATTCAAGTTAATGAAAGTTAACTTGAAGTTAGATTCAAATTAATTCAAGTTAATGAAAGTATGCTCATTGCAATTAAGTGAATTTTCTTGGTTTTATTTTAAAAATTGTCATTTCATACTCACCAAATTTGGGACTATGTTAAAAGTTTTTTTTAGCATGTCAATCAGAATAGGGTAGCAGAATAACAGAATTGGAAGGGACCTTGGAGGTTTTCTAGTCCAACCCCCTGGTCAAGTAGGAAATCCTATACCATTTCAAACAAATGGTTGTCTAGTCTCTTCTTAAAAACCTCCAGTGTTGGAGCACCCATAACTTCTGGAGATAAGTTGTTCTACCGATTAATTGCTCTAACTGTCAGGAAATTTCTCCTTAGTTCTAGAGCTTCTTTCCTTGATTAGTTTCCGTCCGTTGCTTCTTGTGCTTTGAAAAATAAGTTGACCCTGTTTTCTTTGTGGCAGCCCCTGAGATATTGGAACACTGCTATCATATCCTCTAGTCCAGTGGTTCTCAACCTTCCTAATGCCGCGACCCTTTAATACAGTTCCTCATGTTGTGGTGACCCCCAACCAGGGGTGGGTTCTAAATATTTTTTACTACCGGTTCTGTGGGCGTGGCTTATTTTGTGGGTGTGGCTTGGAGGTCGTGTGACTGGGTGGGCGTGGCTAGCTGGTCATGTGACCGGGTGGCCATGGCTATGTGTATAGGGACTACTCAGAGGGCTGAAAAAAGTCATTTCTGACAGGTCCTCGCACTTTTGACTGGTCCTCACACTTATGACCATCCTCACATTTATGCCCGTGCAGCATTCTTAACAACCATGTCACTCATTTCACAACTTTTCACCATGGTGATAACATAGGGCAAAAAACGTAAAATGTGAGGATAGTCGTAAATTCGAGATCTGGTCAAAAGTGCGAGGACCAATCAAAAATAACTTTTCAGCTCTCTGAGTAGTCCATGTGCACAAAAGGACTACCCAGAGGGCTGAAAAAAGTGATTTCTGACAGGTCCTCGCACTTTTGACCGGTCTTCGCACTTATGACTGGTCATCATTTATGCCCATTGTAGCATTCTTAACAACCATGTCACTCATTTCACAACTGCTTCTCTTCACCATGGTGACAAGATAGGGCAAAAACGTAAAATGTGAGGACAGTCGTAAGTTCAAGGACTGGTCAAAAGTGCGAGGACCAGTCAGAAATAACTTTTTCAGCCCTCTGAGTAGTCCATATGCATAAAAGGATACAGCAATAGAGAGGGATGAAGGAAGGGAAGGGAAATTAGAGTAGGAGTGAGGGTAAGAGAGGGAGGAGAGGAGGAGAAGGAGAAAGGAAGAGGAAGTAGGGAGGAGAAGAAGAGGGGGAGGAAGAGCACCCGCCCTCTGGAACGAGCTACCTCCCGGAATACGGCTGATTCCGGATCTCCACACTTTCCGTAAGGCCCTGAAGACATTTTTATTTCAGCAAGCCGGCATGGCCTGAATAGGTTTTATGGGTTAGTTTTTTAATTGTATTGCTAGGGGTTTTAAATTGGGGCAGCCGTTTAATTTAATTTATTTTTAATTATTTTAACTTTTATATTGTATGTTATTTTAATTCTTGGCTGTTCACCGCCCTGAGTCCCTTCGGGGAGAAGGGCGGGATATAAATTTAATTAATAAATAAATAAATAAATAAATAAATAAATAAATAAATAAATAAATAAATAAATAAATAAGAGAAAGTAAGAAGGAAAGAAAAGAGAGAGGTGGTAGATTTGTGGAGAAAGATAGCTGTACAATAAAAAAGATGAAAGGGAAGAAAGCCAACCCCAAACAAATATAAAGATATTAAGATAAAGAATGAATTGTTAAACTTTAAAGAATAAAAGAGAACAAATATGAATAAATAACAATAATTAGAAACACATATACAAACATACAATGTATTTTCTTTGAACAGAGTATTTGGCCGGTTCACAAATTTAAACAGTGTTTAGTCATTTCAATTAAATTTACAATTTCTATATTTCCTTTTTGCCATATTTATTCCTAATCTATTTCTGTAAAAAACCAATATTACCCTTCATCCTCATCTCTAATCTTAATCAAATTCAATTTTTCCCTTCTATATTATACCCCTTCCCATTGTCATCTATTTTTATATCCATCCTCACATTGGTTAATTATGTAATATTACAGTTGTTTAATATAAATTCAACATTTTAATATAAATCAATTAGTTATATAACTACCTTTTTTGTATATTAATCAATATGAACATGAATATTCCAATTATTTCCATGCCCAGTACGCTCCCATAGAGAGAGGCTTCTCAGGGTGCCGTCAGCCAAACAATGTCGACTGGCGGCCCCCAGGGGGAGAGCCTTTTCTGTGAGGGCACCCACCATCTGGAATGAGCTCCCCCCAGAGATACAGAAGATTCCGGATCTCCGCACTTTCCGCCGTGCCCTCAAAACATTCCTGTTTCAGCAGGCCGGCCTGGCCTAACTTTCCCTTTATATTGCTTTTTGATTTTATTTTAAACTGGGATGTCTTCAATTATCTAGGACCAGAGTGTTTAGTATATTTTAATTGGTTTTTTATTAACGTTTGTATTAAATGTATTTTTATCGTTCGCTGTTCACCGCCCTGAGTCCCTTAGGAATAGGGCGGTATATAAATTTAATAAATAAATAATAAATAAAATAAAATATTTACCAATAATAATAAACCAAATAATTTCCCCCATATATTCCTCCAAACCACAACTTAACCATTTCTGCTTTCAACACAATATACAATTAATAGTATCTCAATTATTACAATTCCCTAGTTAAATAAAGCTTTTTTTCTTTTGTGTTTTAAAATCTTGAACTGTCCTCTTTTCCCCTAAATTTCCCATTGTTTGCACCTACCTTTTTTGGTGAGGAAAAAGAAAAGAAATCTGCCTGCCTAATTTTCCAACGTTGCAGCAACAGCAAAGCCAACAGCCTGCTTTGCTTTCAGTTTCGTTTTTCAGCATAGCTAGGGGGAAAAAAATCTGCTCCAGCAAGCAGCAGAGCCGTGAGCAAAACAGCTCAGAGCAAATCAGCTGAGAGTCAGGAGCCGATCTAATCAAGGGCTAATTAGCCTATGCTGAAGCTCCGCGGGCCAATAAAATTACCAAAAAACACCGAACCATTTGTTAAATTGCTGGCTCGCCCGCCCCTCGCCCACCACTATTTATTGGCAATAAATAGTGGTGCGGAGGGGCGGGGCAAGGGGCGGGCTTTGAAGCCCCGCGGCAAGAATTTAAACAGTTTTTTTTCCTCTAGCCATCAGCTGGGATTCAGGAGGCAGCAATAGATTGGGAGTGGGCGGGGTAAGCGAACGGCCGGCGAACTAACAGAGCAGAGAGTGAGGGTGAGTGAAGGCATGGGGGGGGGTGAGAGAGGGCTTTGGCGACCCCTGTGAAATGGCCGTTTGACCCCCAAAGAGGTTGCGACCCCCAGGTTGAGAACCGCTGCTCTAGTCCTTCTTTCCATTAAACTGTACATAGTTTAAATCATCTTTAGAATGTACTGTAATGCCACATGTACTCATGAATAAACCAAGAATTTTAGGTGCCAAAATATACACCCAAAATAGGATTTGGTTAATTGGAATTGTGCTTATCTGTGAATATGTATGGACATTTTTAAAGTGAGCTGTATCTTCTATATACTTGCGGATTAGCCAACCCTCAAATTTTTAATTCAAATAAAATAAAAAATGCCATCCACAGATAAGCCAGTTGTGAAAATTAAAACATGAAAATTTCAAGAGTTGGATTATCTGCAGATAGACATATAGAAGTATACAAATAAATTCAGTAAATAGATCTCATTTCCTATTTTTCCCCTTTAATTTCCTTATTACTAGGAAGTACTACTATTAAAGTTTCTATAACAAAACTAAATGATAAAGGGATTAAATAGGCAAACTTGTTTAATATGTTTTGAAATACTGGACAAATACTCAGTATCAGACTTTTGTATGAAACCAATTTTCAGCATTTTAAATACCTCTAGTCTAGTCAATAAAAGTTAAGCATTTAAGCTCTGCTCTTTTCATAACTGATATTTTTAATATTTAAAGATGGCAGTCTTTGTGGTGTTTTTGACTATTTACTAGCTATCCTTCTCTTTCAGGCATTTGATTTAACGGAACAGAGGTATGTAGCAGTAAAAATCCACCAGTTAAATAAAAACTGGAGGGACGAGAAAAAAGAAAATTACCACAAGTGAGTATTTCCACAGTCACATGATCAAAATTTTGGCAACCAACATGAATTTATGACAGTTATAATGTTCTGGGATCTTGTGATCACCACCTTCCCGGCTAACTCTTAACAAGAAAAAATAATTGGGAAGCCAGATTCACTTATCAACCATGTGATTCACTTAACAACTATAGTTTTTGATTGTTGGGTATAGAATAATAGGAAGAGTTTTGTATTAGCATATACTCTGGTTTCCCTTCACTATTAAGTTTTGTTTGAAGTTTTTATCAAAAAGTTTGTTTATAACTTTTAATGAAAATGTAATTAGAAAAATGTAAATACAATTTTTTTTCTAAATACAGTTAAAAAACATGAAACAACTGTTCCCTGTGAGCAAAAATTAATGAATCGCTGTCCATTTCTTCATAATGTTATCATTTCTGGAATTGTACATTTTAGACTAGTTAACTGAAAGTAGCTCAGACATACCCACAACTGGATAAAAGATGGAAGAGATTTAGAATAGCCACTCCTAAAATCTCCCTGAGTACATCTGTTAGTGTGAGAAGTTTAGTCTGCAAGATTCTGTCTGTTCATGTAAACAAGTAAAAAACTGAACATTGGCTGGATTGTTCTATGTCATTCTTGGGCTGGGTCTAACAACAGCTGAGTTATTTTCCAAATCATCAAAAATAATATTTTATCTTTTGTTGATTCGAATCTAGCTGAATACTATGTCCACTTCCAGTTATCACTCTTTAGATTGTTTTCAGAAAAACTAGAACATGCTCAGAGAAGAATATAGAATAATTATCTGAAGATAACATTGATTGCTGCCTTGGCTCCATTTCAAAAGTCAGTCAAGATGGATTTATTCCAAAAGCCTTTAGAAATTTCTTTTCCTTATTTTCAGGTTCAGGTTAACCCTATAAAAAAGGCAGACTATATTCCTGCATCATGATCTTGACAATATTTTCTTAATGGTTCCATTTATGTGCCATGTTCAGGTTAAAAGTCAGGCATACTAAATGATATTCAATACATTCAGTTTTGAGGTAACATGTGTGAACTAAATTGTCATATATAACCTAACATTTCTAAAATATCCAGTTCAGATATATTCAACCTTCCATTTGGAGGTAAACCTACACTTTTCCTGGAAGTATTCTATCAAATAATTTTGAGGGACCAAAGTTTTGGTTACCAAAATTAGCCTTTGTTGAGTTTAGCACCTAACAAAGCATTACCCACATTTTTTCACCTCCTAAAGTGCAGGATGATTGGTGAGAAGTCACTCGTAATAAATAGTTCTGTCTTTTTCCTTTAGGCATGCTTGTAGGGAGTACAGAATTCATAAAGAGCTGGATCATCCTCGCATAGTTAAATTATATGACTATTTCTCATTGGACACCGACTCGTAAGTGCTGTTGTCTTTGTAATTTGCACTGTTAATAAAGTCACTTGAAAATTTGTGATTAAGCTGTTTAGAAATTTGCGGGGAGAGGAAATGGAGCAAACCAATCTATTTTGAAATATAGATTATAACATTTAAAGTAAAGCCTTGCCAGAAATTGAATTTGCCTGTCCAATTCAATTAAGAGAAGGCCTTTTGCAAGTCCCCATTCCTTACAAAGATGCATGGGCCATAGAAAATGCAGCATGCATTCTGAGTGATGGACCTATTTTGTGAAATACTTTTCTCTGGAAGAACAGATAGCCCAAATGCTACTGACATTTTGTAAACAAAGCAGTTTTGTTCCAGCTTGGGTTCAGCCCTTAGATTAGTTTAGCTTTACAAGCATCTATGATGTTTATTCCTAGCTTTTAATTATCTTTAAATGTTTACACTGAGCCTTTAATTATTAAATTAAAAGAACTAGAGTGCCTTGATACTAATATAGGTAGACATCTCATAAAATTTATATTTTTTCTACACATGGCATTCATGGTGGCTTACAATTAAAAAAGCATAAATAGCTAAAATATGAATAAAACATTTATACCAAAAGAGCCATCCTAAAATTACTTTGTTTCCTTTCAAAAATAAGTAGAAACTTAGTACAACTGAAGGTGTACATTCCATAATTTGGAAACAATATACATGAGGGCCTTCTTTCACAAACCTCATCAGCAAATTGTGGAAAGGCAATTTATAGTTAGCATTCCGGGAAAATATATCATGGAAGAGAAAATAGGATTTATAAAAGGGATTCAAGTATCACCTTGCACATAAGAGAAGCTGCAGCAATATTTTATTTTGTGGGTAGCAAATAGTAGTTAACTTTTTGGAATTGAAATTTATACTAAATGTACAAAGTAAATTAGGTGTTAGCCCATTTTTTCCAATAATTTTACTCAGTTTAATATTTATCTTTTTAATCCAAGTTGAAAATATGACATTTCAAAACAAGCTAATGTCTGTCCCAAAGGTGCTTTTTCAAGTGGCAACTGAATTTGTTTTTCTTTGAAGACATTTTGCTTCTCATCCAAGAAACTTCTTCAGCCCTGGGTTTTATTAACAGATAAAAAATAAAGAAAAATGTGCTTTATGTCAAAGTTAATGTATTTGTATGATAAATCACAGTATTGGTGAAATTAATTAAAAATAACCTGAAAATATTTCCCATTATAAAATGAATCCAAGAAAATTAAATATAATACTACATAACATAGGGCATTTACACATAACAGCATTCCTATTTATTTATGTTACGTGTTTTAGGCCACTTTTCAGCTTAAAAAATACAGTTATACATTCAAAATATACAGGAGATTTTAGTTGCTGAGAATGAGCTTTTCAACAAGTACATGTGACCTATTAAGGACAGCCATGTGCAAGTTGCTCTGAGACTGACTAACATTTCCTGACTAAGAATCGAAGAAGTTTGTCATTTCCAAAGGACAGGAGCTATTATTTTCCAGATATATTAGATGCTATAGTATACTTGTTACCACATTTAAGGACATTTCCCCCAGAATTAAAGAACAATTAATATAGCAAAGAAAGGAAGAACATACTAATATAAAGGGAAAATACAGGCAGCTTTGAGGATTTGACCCTTGGTTCTTATATTAAAAGTGCAGAATTTCAAATTTCAAAACAGTACCTAGAAATGTCAGCAAGAATAGATACTGCCCAAACTTTTTCTTTTCTGGTTTTGAAAGGAATGGTATCAAAATACTACTACAAATATATATAGTGATTAAATGAATAATTTCATATTAAAATTCCAAACGAATTAAGAAAATGCATTCATACAAATTCTATTAAAGCATGTTGCAGGTGAATTCAATATCATTTTAAAAAAATATGTGTGTACATTAATACCAATCAACGTATATAAAAAAGAAAATTATTTTTGGATCAGTAGACACTTAAAATGTTTAAGTATGTCACATCACTCTCATGAAAGTCTGATCAGACATAAAATAACTGATTTTATGTTGCTCCAGCTTATGTTTATCTTTTTTTAGCGGTAAATAAATACACTTTGAAAAAAAGTTCATAGGGTTAAAAACAATAAGGTCTGTCATTTCTTCGCCTTTTGGCTAAGATCAGGTTAATAGGTCTATACATACTATACATTTTTGAGCCATTCATAAATCAATGCAGATTTACAGATCTAGAAAAATCATTATTTGTGATTTCTTAAGTAAACATTAAGTTGATTTTGATACATGCATAAATCATGTTTGATTGTTTGATTTCACTTCCTCCAGGTTTTGTACAGTATTAGAATACTGTGAGGGGAATGATCTTGATTTCTATCTGAAACAGCACAAATTAATGACAGAGAAAGAAGCCCGATCTATAATCATGCAGATTGTAAATGCATTAAAATATTTAAATGAAATCAAGCCACCTATTATTCATTACGATCTCAAACCAGGTAAGTTCATAGTGAAGATAGTACTGCACTATGGGGGAAATAACAGAATATGATGTGTTTTACAGGATTCTGCTTCCTTGACGATTGAATGTGAAATATGTAGTTTGGTTTGATTAGTTAGCAATAACATTTCCAGTTCCCATCACTGTAAACTTCCATAGTTATAACTGGGAACATTGTCAATCCTTTCTCTCTCTTCCAAATGGATACTGCCATTTTGTTACTTTGAAAAGTATTAAATATGCTGCTCCACTTGTAGCGCTAATATCTTCAATGGTAGACAGATGTTATTCTGAAAAGGAGATCAGTAATTATCTTTAAATTTTATTTTTTATTCAGGTTATAACTTGAAGTGCTTTAGTCAACTGGAGTTCATGCGGGGTTTTAATTTAGCTCATGTTTCATGTTCTTTTATCAGTGATGTGAGTTAGACTGGGATGGGAACAAAGATCATGAATGGAAATTATTATTTAGATGATAATGATGATTCTTCTGATCCTGTTTAGCCTTCACATTTATTCCTACAAAGTTATCCTAAAGGAAAACTGCTTTAATTTATTGTGTTACCATTTTGTATGGATGATTTTATGTTTTGATTGAGTGTTATAAGAGAACTTAATTGGAGAGCAACTAAACATTTTAGAAAATTATAGTTGGTTGCACAGCCCACCAGATATTTATACTAGATTTGGCATGTTTGTTCAATCTGTCAAATTTTTCTCAAAATAGGCAAATGTTATTTAATAATATTAAAGGTATTGTCACAGGATATAAACTGTTCCAAATAAATCTATATTTTGCCATTAACTGAAGTTAATTTTGTCAGTGTTCAAGTAGTGCTCCAGACATTTTGGAATTCCACCCAAGGCACCTTATTACTATTGATAATATTTGCTTTTACAACAGTTTTTCTACTTCATTTGCAGATCTCCATGTTTTATGATTTTTTTCCTTTTCTTTGTCTTCTATTCTGTTGTCTCCAGGTATTGCCACATCCACTATCCAGATTTTTTTTTGTCTTTCTTGTCAACAATCATTAAGTCATATGATAGATGCTTGTCTATTTGAATTCTAAAGTCCCACTTTGTGGCCCTATCAGTTCTTCCTTGCAAATAAATGGTTATTTCTTGCAGATATTCCAATACACCATTGTACTGGAGTCAGTCTGTGCCATCTTCTTACAGCAGCTAACTAGGTGGGCCATTGTTTCTTCTGCTTCAACAAACGGAGAGGTGGCATTTGTTGTCTGTTGCTGTTCTCTCAATTCTGCCTATATATACATTCATTATTAAGGCTTGATTATGCAGCCAGAATTAGCCCTTCTGCCACTTAATTCAACTTTCCTGCTTTTAGCCATTGCCAGGTCTTGTTCCTATCTACTTTGCCTCCTATTTTTTTAATGTACTCACTATATAATACTTTGCCTTGCCATGTCTCTTTTTGGTTCTTCATTTAGTCTTTCATATAGACCAGTTTGGTCTCTCCAGTACTTAGTAAATATTCCTGGTACACTAGCTTCAGTGCATTTTCTTTACTGTCCTTCAAATACCCCTCCAATGCCTCTTCTTCAGTTGCCTGGTGTACGTTCCACACCTACCTGTTTTCCTTGGTAAGCAGAATCTTTCAACATTGCTGTGGGGATGATGGACATGATTCATGATAATTTTTCTGGTCTTTCTATCCAGGACTTTTACTTCTGCTTGAGTCCAGTCCACTATTCCACCTCTATATCTAATTATTGGAATTGTCCAGGTTTTGCCTTGGTGATATTTCCTCCATTGAGTTTGGACTTTTAATATCTTCTTCATTCTTATGAAGTATTCACTTCTAACTCTCTTCTTGGCTTCAGTATGCTTGATGTTGTCAGCTTGAAGGATGCCCAGGTATTTGTAGTGATTGTCTTCATCTAAATTCTTGATGTTATTTTCATAAGTCATCTTGATTCCTTCAGTTTTCCATATTTTTCCTGTTGATGGTGGCAGAAGCACATTTGTTCAGTCCAATCCTTTCAGTATCTTGGCTGGGTAAATGAACAATGTTGAGAATCAATTCTATTTCAGGAGGTATTTCTCCATATAGCTTCACATCATCCATGTAAGGGAAATGGGATAGCTTAGCAGATGTTTTTGATGTTTGAGAGCGATGGGTTGATGTGTTCCGTATTATTGACACCAATGCAATAACAAACAGTAGTGGTGGTAGTGAGTCTCCTTGAAAGATTCCTCATTTGATATTAACCTCTCCTAATCTAAACCATTGACCAGCAACTATGTCTTCCATTGTCCCATTGATCTTTATACAAAGCTTCTAATGTTTCTACTGATTCCACTTATTTCTAGGCACCTGATTATTCAATCATATGGCAGAAAGTCAAATGCCTTCTTATAATGAATCCAAGCTACATTCCAGTTGATCTTCCTTGTCTTGCGATTTCCAAAATCATCTTGTCAGTTAGGAGCTGACTGTTCCTCTGCTGTTTGGGCAGTTTCCTTTCTGCTCAAGTGGAAAGAGCTTGTTTTCAACTAGATGCTATTGGACTGCATCAGTTACCACACAGATGCAATCTGAAAGTTATTGCTAAGTAGATAATTGGTTTCTAGTTGCCTGATGCTGCCTCTTTTGCTGGAACTTTCGTTATCAGGTAGGTCTTACCAGAAGTATTTTTTAATTTTACCACTCTGCACCTTGTTGTTAAACTGTTTAGCAATGAATGGGTGTAAACCAGTTAGATGTTTCAATACTACATCATGCAATTCATCTTTACCTAGAGCTGACCAATTCTTGATTTTCCTTGCTCTTTTCTCCATATTTTTTTCTGTTATTACAAATGCATTCGTTCCAGCTTCTTTTTAATTTTTATCCACCTCCTTAAGTTGCATTCTTGATGTATTTCTGCACATTAGTTGATTTGTTTCTTTTAGTAAGCTGGTGCTTATATGTGTTATTACAATATTTGTATCTTGTAATACTTGTGCTAGTTTTTTTTTTTTTTTTTTGAAAAGCTTCAATAGCAACCTTACTGCCAATGTGTTAGAGCCGTGGTGGTGCAGTGATTACAATGCAGAATTACAGGCTACTTCTGTTGACTGCCACCAATTTGGCAGTTCAATTCCCACCAGGCTCAAGGTTGATTCAACCTTCCATCCAGGGGTGAAATGCTCCCGGTTCGGACCGGATCGCCTGATCTGGTAGCGATGGAGGCGGATGGTTCGGAGAACCGGTAGCAAAAATCCCTCTCTCCCCCCCATGCCCAGCTGATCATAAGAGGCTTTTTTTTTTTTTTTTTTACTTTTAAAAGCATTTTTTCTACAACCTCTTCGGCTGAAAAAATGCTTTTAAAAGTTAAAAAAAAAAAAGCCTCTGATGATCACGCGGCTCAGCTGGGATCATCAAAGGCTTTTAAAAGCCTCTGATGATCCCAGCTGAGTTGCCTGATCGTCAGAGGCATTTAAAAGAAAAAAAGCCTCTGCCAATCAGGCAACTCAGCTGGGATCGTCAGAGCCTTTTGAAAGCATTTTTTTACATCCTCTTTGCCAAAGAGGTTGTAGAAAAAATGGTTTTAAAAGTTAAAAAAAAAATTGGCCACGTCCACCCAGTCACATTAACCCTACCACCACCAAGCCATGCCCACAGAACCAGTAGTAACAAATTTTAGATTTCACCACTGTTTCCATCCTTCTGAGGTGGGTAAAATGAGGACTCTGTAAACCACTTAGAGAGGGCTGTAAAGCACTGTAAAATGGTATATATGTCTAAATGCTATTGCTTATTTGGTTGTTTTTATACTGTTCTAGATGTTGAATTATTTTTTGTTTTAATTCTTTTTGTGGTAGGAAACTTTGTTCTTTCTTAGGAGAAGGCAGAGGATAGGGTGCCTGTTTGGAAATGAAAATATTCAGTATCTATGCTGTGAATTCACAGCTATCAGTTCTTTAGCTGGTCTTGGCCTTCATACACACAGAGTTCTTCCCAAGACATGGGCTTGGCATGTCAAAATTTTGGAAATGCCTTGAATCTGCTGTTGTGTCCCAACAGAAAGAGAGAAATAATTCTATATCCCCCACCCCATCAAAGCCATCCTGAACAATAACACTCAGCAGTTGCACCAAGGCTGGGCCTGAATTGAATCGACTTCAATCCTAGGGCACAACTGCCAGTCAAAAAGGCCACTTTGTGCCATTCCCCAAGGGAGGGTTACCTTGCAGTCAGCACTCCCCAGGATCTGATTGCGTCACTTACCTTCAGGCAATATCTTTTGTTGTTGTTGCAGGCTCCTGCAGCTTATGTGAGGCTGCTCTAGGTCACATGAGGCCTTCATTCTTGAAGTGGCTTCAAAAATGCTCTTTTGCAGCCTCTGGAAGTTGCATAAAAGCATATCCCATTCTGACATGATTTTCAGAATATAGCTCTTGTGCGCACAGCCTTCAGATGTCCAAAGATACACAAGAATATACCCTATTTACACACGGCCTCCACAGCCTCAAAAATTGCACAAGAACAAGGTGTGTTTTCAAGAATAGTTGTCAGGTGTTGGTGAATACTGGTATGTCACCCAAATGCTGTGGCATGTCAACTTTGACACAGGTGTCATAGTTTTGCCATCACCGAACTAGTATCAGCAGATCTAAGCTATGTTGCCTTTTGTAATTGACATTCCCACCAAATTTTCATTACTGGATAATTTTTACAGATTTTCCAGTGAACTTTTTGGCAACTGTACTATGTCATTATTTGTTTGATCTTGCATGAGCTGTGATCTGTTTCTTCTGCCTCTTTGCACAATCTGCACTTTGAATCATTTGATGATTTCAATTCAGGGCTAGATTATTCTATGTTGAATAGCCTGCTCTTGGACACACAAAATTACGGTAATTGTCAGATTATTTCTTTAATGTTCCAGTTTTATGCTATTGCCAGGTTTTATCCTTATCCATTTTGATCTTATGTAGAAATTGGCCATAATGCTTCTGCTTGACTGCATTCTGGTTATGTTTTTATTATATTATTTTGATACTCATATTTTGTTTTCTGCACATTCATTAAGGTCCACTTTTTAATTTGCATCAGTGCTTGTCCTTGGCTTTCTTTTAAATAATCAGCCAGTGAATGTTTTTTTTTCTTCAATAGTTTGACTTGAGGTAAACCTCTACCTCCATTTCTGCACGGCAGGTATACAATATCAATATAACAGTAGAGATAAAATGAATAATAAATAATCAACAGTTTTCTTGTTTTGTAGTCCAAACTATCCAGTTAAAATTCCAACAGTATATCACATCATGGGTATAGCCCAGATAATAATGATTTTGATGGTGTTTCCATCATCTTCAGCACTTTTTTCACTCTAGATGTATTATTTACTAATCACATTTTAACTTGTTCATGTTCGATGTTATCCAACTGTAAAATACTTGTAGGCTTCTTCATGATGGCTCCTGATCATTTCACCTTTTTAATTCCATTACTATTCATGATTTTATCTCAATTTATTGCTACTGTAGTACATTTCTTTAGGTCAAATTCCATTGCTGTGTCTGTGCTAAAAATCGTTACAGTAATTTATCCATGACTGACAATAGTTTCTGTTTTTCCACAAAGCTATAGATTATCCATATAAAGCAAATGTGAGATTTTATTAGCATATTTGATGTTTGATAGCCACAATTTCTTTTTTAATTATTATTATGTGCCATTTCCCTTCACCTATTAGTTTATCCTGTAACATTACATCTAAGGAGAGTTTCTCTTGGACATGAGAAAATATCTACATTAAGTTTTGGGAAAGAAGCCAGTGCATTTTTTTACCTTTTAGGTTAATTCAACAAGGTATCACATTGATTGAAAAGAATTATTTTGCTATGCTATCCCCCCTAATAAGCCTGTTCAACTTCAATTTTTTTTTCCTGCCCAGGAAACATCCTCTTGGTAAATGGTACTGCTTGTGGTGAAATTAAAATCACTGACTTCGGCCTCTCAAAAATCATGGACGATGACAGTTACAATTCAGTTGATGGCATGGAGCTGACATCTCAAGGAGCTGGTACATACTGGTGGGTATATAATCTGTTTTTTGTCTTGCATAGTCCATAATATTTTAAAAATACATGTCTTTAAAACTTGAGGAAAAACAGAGAAAAACATACATTTTTCCAAAAGGTTTTTGTAAAGTAGGAGAAATAATGAGGACAGTATATTGGATTACTATATCAAAATCAGTTTTTAGAGGAAATTAGATATCTTAGTATGCAAAACAACTCAGAAAATAGTTCTCTAGAATGTACATTCTGAGTTCTCTAGAGAACCTCAGAATATTCTATTCCTAAATAATTGAGTTTTGCACATTCTTAGTTTTTCCAACTCAATTAACAATCTGACATATTGAAAAGATTTTTCAAAAGATTCTTCTTCTTATGCCATATCCGTCATTGGATGTTGGCGATCCTATTTTATCACAGCCACACGAAAAAGTGCTGCTGAGTTTTGTCAAAAACAGTCCCTTAGATTTTGAAGCCATGATGTTCTTCTGCCTGGAACTCATTTGCCTTCAATCTTTCCCTGGAGGGTTAAATGAAATATGCTGTATTTTTGCAGGTGTTGGATCGCATCTCCAAAATATTCTAACTTTTGCTTTTTTATAGTTTTGATGATTTCCCTTGGCTTGCCCAGGCAGCTTATCACTCCTCATTTCAAAAGTTTAGACACATGTAAATATTTAAGGGATCTTCTTTGTAAAATTTATAGCAGAATCCTTAGTGATTTTCAAAGACCTATTTGAATATATGAGAAAGGCCATCTCTTGCTTCATTTCTAAACTATGGACATCTCAGGACAACAGAAAAAGTATTCTATGAATATTTAACAGAAAAATCATTGCAAAAGATGTGCTTATTTTTGTATATTTTTACTATGGAAATTAATTTGAAAAAATAATAAAAATCATAATCATGAATATTTTTCTTTAGACTAGCTGGTAGGTAGGCAAGTCAGTATAGCTTATTACCACATCTAAATTTGTAGACCTGGAACAAAAAATTGAGAGAATAACAATCTATTTCAATATCCCAGTATTTCCTTTTAAAAGGCCCTATTATATCTGAGATGAAAATTACAGAACATTGGATAGTTTGTTCCAAGCTTGAAATACTCAAAATTTCCATTTCAAGTTCAGAACATTTTATCTACATTCTACACATATTTGACTGCAGCTGTTTGAAGAGCACAGTGTCTGAGAATCCTGAATGGGTAATAAGGTGAACATTATAGCTGGCCACTGATACACCATATACTTCCAAAGAAAAGCAAATCAGAAGTGTTCTGGTTGTGGTAGCTTACTTGAAATATAAGATGTATGATCTTTTGCCTGACCTGAACAAGTAAGCAATACTGTAAGATGTGGTCAGACTAAAGATCACTTGAGGATATGTACTTCAGGTATAGTGTCCTTTCCTTGTAAACCAACAAATCAGTTAAAGCAACATATTTGAGAATACTTGCTGTTTATCCTTTATCACCCAAATTGTAATGTTAGCCCTGGTTATAACATTATAAATAACACTCCAGAAAATGCAGATCCATTGATGTAAAACAGGTGTGAAGAACATCTTTGGAGCCCATAGGTTGAACATACAGAAGTGTGGCATAAAATCCATAGCATTTGCATATTGGGTAGTACAGGAAATTTGGCAATAACTGTAATGTTTGTATCATTATTTCAGTAATTGAACATATATTAATAAAGCCAGCTGATTTCCTATGCTTGATTTTTTATTGTTTCAGAATAATTTTGCTATTTACAACTGAATTGTTCTAATAGAGAGCTGAAGTAGAGACATTTTATTCAACTTTAAATCAAAGAAGCAAGTTAAAGCAAATTGGTATCTTGCTGCTATTTCTGCAACAACAACAAAAGTTAATGGAAATTTATAATGGTTGTTTCAATGTATACCATATAGAACCAGAACATTCCCTGATAAGCAAAAAGAAAAAAAAGGGGGGGGGGATTTTATCCATATGAAATTCAGTAATAGACCTTGGATGAAATACATTCTGTGACATAAATGGTTAATGGTGGAAAAAATGGGCATTTAAAATAAATGTAGCTATTGCTTTCTCTTCCTCAGGTATCTGCCGCCTGAATGTTTTGTGGTTGGAAAAGAGCCTCCAAAGATTTCAAATAAAGTGGATGTTTGGTCAGTAGGAGTTATCTTCTACCAGTGTCTTTATGGCAGAAAAGTAAGTGGAAGGGCAACTAAGGTATTGCAAAAATATTCAGTCACTTTAGGCTAAGTCTTACGTGCATTCAATTACAGTTCCTAAAATTAGGAAGAGTGCGGTTGATATATTTTCTATCTAACAAATTTTATTAAAAAGTATAAGCTTTCATGAGCTACAGGTTTCTAAAAATCTTAACATCTGGTTTAAATGTTAAAGCACATATTCTATCTGCTGATATAACTTATATTTGTGCAAATAGATTCTGTTAAAAATGTCTGTGCTTACATATTAAAAGTTTCTAAATTTAACAAATTTGTATTTTGCCATTAATACCAAGGATTACCAGTAGTTATAAGTAATACATACTAACATTAAAACACTTCCATTGTTAAAACTGTTAGATCTATATTATATATAAAACATAGTTAACCAACAATATGAATATTTTGAAGACTTCAATCATTTATTTTTATTCATGAAATGTAATATTTTAAATAAATCTTGATTGGCTGTCTAACTCATAAAGGAATGTCAGATGAAATTTGGGAAAGGAGATATGATATAAAGGAAAATGAAAGGATTTCTGAAAAAATATACTTGAAATTTGATCAATGATTACAGCTAGCAGTTTTGTTTCATACTTCAAATGCAATTCACTATCAGTGAAGAAATTCAGGTAAAGCATTCTCCACAGATAATGGCCAAACTTTGCCTAGAACACATCCAGCAAAGGAGAGCCACGATTTTTCTTGTTAATTGGTTCCACTATTGAACTGCTCTTACTATTAGGAGGTGTTCCTCCCATTCAGGTTTCTTACAATAACTTGACCATTATTCCATGCCTGGACAATAGTGAATGGCCTTCTGTATGATCCTTTTCAATAGAGCAGAATGTTCTCATATCCCTTCTTTTTCATCTTTTCTCAAAGCTAAATACATAGCTTCCTCATTTTCTTCTCCTAGAAATTTTTAGTTCTGTAGTCATCCTTGTAACCCTTTCTTGCACTTTTTCTTTTCTTCTGCAGCCCTTTGGTCACAACCAATCTCAGCAAGATATTCTGCAGGAAAACACAATCCTTAAAGCTACGGAAGTACAGTTTCCTCCTAAGCCAGTGGTAACGCCAGAAGCAAAGGTAAAAATAGTTATATTTGGTACAGGGGAATAGGATTAGTCTGTTTTTAGGGATTTGTTTAATTCTCCTATTGGAGGAAAAAGCACTGAATTTTTGAGTCTATTGACTATTTGAATTGCTTATCACCTACTTCTCACTGGGGGGGGGGGAATGTTCTTGCATTCCATAAACTTGTTATCTGCTTATCTTTCTTCCATTGATCTAAGTTCTTTAAAACAGATAAAAGACCAGTGAAATAAATGTAGGGAAGCTAAAATAAATGTTGAATAGCTGCCTTTCAATCAGATTTTTTAGGAGGAATGCCTATATCACAAATGAAAACTTGACCTGGAGAAATCTATTTGGGACAAATTTCATACAACAGGAAGATTTTTCAATAACTTTAGTTTGTTATAACACTTCGTTAACATACAAATTTGATTTGTTTTTGATAGTGCTGCTAATTTCTTCCCTTTACAAAAGGGGGAGAGTACCAATTTTCATTTTTGGTACCTATTTTCTCCTTGTCTTTCATTATCTTTTAGGCATTTATTAGGCGTTGTCTGGCATATAGGAAGGAAGATCGGATAGATGTCCAGCAATTGGCATGTGACCCCTACTTGCTTCCTCATATCCGCAAATCTGTATCAACAAGCAGCCCAGCTGGAGCTGCTGTCGCCTCAACTTCTGGATCTTCTAATAACAGCTCTTCAAACTGAGCAGGAACAATAGGCCAATACATATATATATAACTGGAACTGCAGAAGGAAACAGAGAGTCAGACATGTTTTGAGATGCAGCCTTGGGATTGGCAAGAAGTCCACAAAATGGCTCCAAGAAACCAGGATCAGGTTCTTTGTTTTTCTCTTGCATTCTTATCCCATCCGTAGAGCAAGGCATCATTGATTCTCAGTAAGGATTATGGCAACTTAAGCTAAGTAGCCAAGGAAAAGAAGATTGGTTGGTCTAGTGCTAAGCAATTGCAAAGGCACTATTTGCTCTGGGCAGTGAAAGGAAAAAGATGGTTCCATGTACCGTGAACTTCCAAACACTACAGACCCAGAGTGCGGTTCCATGATGCAGGGTGCACACACCTAGTGTGAAGAAATGTGGTTTTGGTGGCAGGGTAAAGGGGCTGGAGACAGTCCACCGTCAATATTTAAAATATATTTTTTTCTTTTTTGTAAGACTACATCTCACTGGAGGGAAGGGAAAGAAACCACATAGGTCAATGGTATGAGGTTGCACTGAAGGTTGATATAGGATTTTTGCACTCTACAAGAGAATGCAGTGCCTGCCTATTGACAGCACCAGCATTAGCATGTTATCCCAAATAATTTCATCTTTAATAAAAAAAAATGTTTTTTGGATACAAGATGAATTAAATAGCAAGTCAGTGTGGCAGCAATTTTTCCTTAGAGTGACTTCATAATCTATGAGAAAGGAATGCAATGCAGCATTTAGATAACAACTGTGAGCTTAGATTTCTCTCCCCTCTCAGCATCCTAAGAAAGTTACTATTTTGTCAGGAATTTGACAGTTGTCAGCTCTTCCCTTTGAATAAATGTAGAATTTCTCATTTTTTTTTCTTTCCCTACCTAATTCTTTGATCCATTCATTGATGTTTCCTTTAGAAAACTGTGCTCTCTTTAACATGCACACAAATGCTAGCTCTAGCAAATCCTTTAGCCAAAGTTCTTATCCATCCTGATTTTTCATATTTGCTTTCTGCATTGTTTTGGATGCATTTGCTGCATTTACATCTTGAAAGAAGTGTATGTAGAAGAGGCAGACTTTTCCAATCTTCTGTCTTGTGTTTAATTTTCTTCTCGGTTAAGAAGTGGTTTTTTTTAATATTCTTTACTTTTTCATCTTCTAAAAAAAACCTTAAAACCAAAGAAGAATCCAGTTGCTTGAAACTTGTGGCAAAACGCTACTCCTGCAAATAGCTAAAAGGATGTTTGCTGCAAATTATTTGAGCAGTACTGTATGATCAAGTACCCTGGTACAGACCTCAGTTCTTCACTTACAGCTGATGATTCTCAGTCCTCCCTTAATTTCTTATAGGTAATAATACAAACAGAAGCAGTCAGGGGCCAAACATTTTGAAAGTCAAGAGAATTAGGAGGAGAGAGCAAAATTGGACATAAGGGCTTTGTATGTAAACTAATATGAGGATATCCTCTGCATACGTTTGCAGATCAGATGACTAAGACCTGATTATTAAGTCTATTTGGGGTCCCGACCCTTCCTTCTGAAGCAGCACAGTGCATGCACCATTCGGTCAGAAGATGATTCTCATACTTAAATGGAATTAAATGAGCCTGTATAAAGAGTAAGGAAACGCAATATGTCACTATTACAACTGAAGATACCATAAGAAAGCTCATAGTGGTCATCTTTAAAATAATCTCCTCCAAATATATGACTACCTTTAGAATGGGAGTTTCTCATCAGTATGATATGTTGTCAAAGCTTTGAAGGACCGTGTCTTCCTTTTTTCTTTCTCACTCAATCATAGTTCTTGCTTCTTTTCCTAGACAAACAACTGATACTTAAGCATCTTTTACTGGAGATAAAATGTAAGCAGTTTCCAGGATTATCTAGATTTCTAGTGAATCACATCCATTGCACCTATTTCTTCCAATAAAGTTAATTACCTCTGAAAACATATGAAAATAATGTCTTTTTTGTTTTGTTTTGTTTTTCCCCTTCTCCCAGTTTTCAGTTTGCTTTTTTCTCTTAAAAGAAGCCAACTCACATGTCTTATTTCTTTCAGGGTTCATATGTGCCATGGTTACTTATTGCTCTTTCACCAAAATGCAGCTCATATTAACTGTCAAAATACATAGGCAGAAATGACTGCTGCCATGACAAGATATAGCTGCTTTCAGCTTGTTGGACATAATGGTTGACATATCTCATCTATTTTGGGATTGAGTTTGGTTTATTTTTCCATAGCTGAATGCAAAATATGAAAGATTGTCTATGTCAGTGCTCAGGTCTAACATTGTAGCGTTTTGCTCTCCATATTTCTTACTTGGAAAGATAGATAGAAATCTGCATTTCATATATCAGTTAGTTGATTCTTGATCATTAGCAGAAATCCTACCCCAAATAAAACTTACAGTACTTAATTTTGCTTTAAAAGGAATCTCAATCAATCATAATATTTAAAATCGCAATGACTCCCCCTCTCCCTCCTCCGCTCACCCATTAAATAATAGCTGTCTGATATATTGATCTTCATTCATTGTACCTGAGCAGAAGCTTCTACACTTTTCATGGAGTTCATCAGTAAACCAGGCTAAATCATTCTGGAAGAGAAATACAGACTGTGAGTTTTTCATTTCTTTAAGCGGTTGCTGAATTGTTTTATTTTGGGTATCCAAGCCTTTTTGTTGCCACACTGTTCATTTAACTGAAAGGGAAAAAGAAAGGTGTATGGATTTGTAACTTGAAACTAGGCCAGACTGTTTTGGCTTTGCCCTACAGACAAAAATATGGATATTAAACACGTTTTCAAAAATGCAATCTTTTCACTTGCCTTGTTTTATATTTAAGCTGCATTATTGTTATGAAAGGCATGAAAATCCCAAGCTGTATAAAAGACACTCATTGGTCCTGATGAAACAATATAGCAAATAGTTTGTTGGAGTCCACAAAAATTTTAAAAATATGTAATTTTCCTTCTCTAATAGGAAGATCTGATAGATTTGTAAGTCAGTTGTAAAAATGAATAAAGCAATGTGGGCAGAAATGAAGTGCTACCTTCCCTTAAACATAAATAGCCCTGTAAATGGTTCCTCAAATGCCAAGAGCTTTGAATTGGAGGCCAAATCCATCATACTGGGAAAATCTCCATGATTGTTTGCCTTAAAAAGTATTATATCAGAAATGCCTACTGAAATTTTAGAACTTTCTCTAGATAGATATTTGGACAGGACTTCGCTTCCCAATATAATATAGGCCACTCATAATTCCTGAAGGCAGCAACATACTGAGTTCCTGAGCTAAAAACCAACTCTACTAATTTTACTTTTTGCTGTAATTTTTTCCAATAACAGTAAGATCGTTCCCAGGGTTGAGCTCTTTATTTTGAAATAAAATTTCCCCATCCATTAGTACAGAAATTTAGTGATAAGAGCCCTACAACAGACTAAGCATGACTACCTAAAGCTATGCATACTTCAAGAATTATTGCATTCAGAAACTGCTTTGGATCTCACCTAAACACAGTTCCTCATTTCTATTGATTAAAGGTGTCTTCTATTTTTCACACTTGCACCAAAATGATGTCACCCTTTAAGGAAGTAACGATTCCTTAAAACAGTAGCAAATGATTCCTTTGATTTTGTTTTAAAGCGCAACATTTTTTTTCACCCTTATGTATGCAAAAGCCTAAAGAAATCAGGCTCCTTTAATGAATTGCAGAGAAGTGCTGTTCTCATGTAACATTTGAAATAATTTCAACATTTGAAACTTACAAAATCCTTATAATTTTTTAGCTTATGAGATGCCAGCCTGTGATAAATTACTGGCGTTATCATGTCCAAAAATATATCCTACTGGAAGTGGTTCATTATATCTTCTTGCAGCACATTGTTTTACTTTTTTTTCCCTAAAATATTTTACTTTCCTTTTCCTTAAGAAAAGGAAGGCAAATTTTCAAACAAGATAAAAATCTAATGATCACAAACAACCTATAAATAAGTTTATCATATCTGTAACCTTCACCTGGGTGAAAACCTAGTCAAACCTAGAAAATGATGAAACCATTACTTCTGAGGGAATGAAATTTGGGGAAGTTGTGGCTGTGTCAGAGTTGCAAGGCTGCTGCTGCAATCGTGATACATATTTTCAAAATTCCATGATATTTTCCAAACCACTTGTGCAATCCCTCAATTCTCCCCTTCTCAGAAATAGCCACAACCTGCCTGGCTGGGAAGAGGGAGAGAAGGAAAGGAAAAGGAGGGAGGGAGGAAAAAAGAATGGAAGAAAGGAAATGCTCACTGCCAGATTCCTACAAGATAATTCAGTGGAGAAGCCTATAGAAGTCAGAAGTAGGTCTCACTCCCATTGATTTTTTTGCTCTCCACTGATAATCCTGTTTAAGCAAACATCTGAAACAATAACATGTGATCCTTATTTGCAACAAGAGATTAGCTTGACATCTTCCCACAAGCGAATTGGAACACTTGCAGGGAAAAAGTCAGTGGGGATCATGTTACAGCTGATGCTGGAAGTGTGTCAATACCTTTGGACTTGCAACTTCCTAGCAAACTTGCCGGAAAGGTTGCAGGTTGCATCTGTACTACACAAATATACACAACAAAATGCTTCAAAATGCAAGAAAGATCCCTTTTCATGTATCCCATGTAAATCTATGTAATATGTTTGGGAAAAGTTTCCCAGGCCTCCGCCCCCACATAAAAACTGCAATTATAAGCCCTCTACTAAAGCTGCCCACACTTAGTCCAGGAGAGCTGAACAATGATGTTCTATCTATTTCTGGAAAAAATTAGAAGATTGCCTTGCAGCTTTAAACTAATATAGCTGATAAAGTATATGGGACCCGTTTCAATCTGGCTTTTGGCTACGGCATTGCAACAAGGTGAGGAAGTACACCAGGGGTGGGTTCCACTTACCTTTACTATCGGTTCACAACGGGGCCATGCTTGCTTCATTCACATGCGTGCTCTTCTGCACATGTGCAGAAGCATTTTGGTGATGTCGGGGTCGGTGGGGCAACCCACCACGGAAGTACACCTTGCTGCAATGTACATGTACACCTGCAAGTACATCTGGGAGAGTCCATTAGGAATTATTACTGAGAAGACCTGTCATAGCACAGCTATCTCACAAACTTCATGAAAGAGATGAACTTAGGGCAAACACTCTGAACAACACATGTATGTTCAATGCTTGCAAAGTACTGTCTAAAATACCCCCAGTGCTGCACAGTAAAGCTCTATAACACAAATGCAAGAGTTTAAGTCTACTAATTAACCTGGACCTTTTGGCAATTTTCAGTACGTCAATTACAGTACTTTCTGGATTACATAATACAATATTGTATAGTGGTGACATATGGGAGTACCATTCCCCAGTAATTCCAATCCTTTGTACCCAAAACTGATGCAGGGGGGATTATTATTGATCAATATCTACCCAGTTGACCCACTTAATCAGAATCTACATCTGGGCTCCCCAGCCTTTTTGGTTCTGTGGACCGATCGTTTCAGCCGGGGTGGGGGTGTTGAATGATTTCGTATGCACAACATAAATCCTGTGCATATGCTTCAAATGCTCGCTTGCTGCTTCAATGGCCCAGTTCTCAATAGGGTCCTGGGGTTGGGGACCCCTGTTCTATATGAAAATGTTTGGGGGAGATCATGCCAGAGATCATTTGAAATGGGGTGCCAATATACTGATGATACTTGGTTCTATTGCTCCTTTTTTCTCTTTCCTTTTCAAATTTGCTACTGTGTTTCCCCAAAAATAAGACCCTGTTTTATATTTTTTTGAACCCTGAAATAAGCGCTTGGCCTTATTGCCATGCACTCAAAAGCCCGATTGGCCTTATTATTGGGGGATGTCTTATTTTGGGGGAAACAGGGTAAGTATGAGTGAAAGTTATAAAAAAAAAAAGACAAAGGTGCAAATAAGTATGAAATTACAATTATTGACTAATGTTTAGTCAGTTTTGGACACGATTCTATTTCTGAAAGAGCAAGTCCACACTCTGGGAATGCTCCTTAATCCTCAGCTGTCACTGAATTCTTAGATGACAACTGCAACAAGGAGTATTTTCATACAAAGCTAGTATGCCAACTATGAAACTTTCAAAGCTAGTGGAGATTTGGTCGTCCATACCTTAGTTCCATCCTACATTGGCTATTGGAAAATGTTGAATGTAAGGCTATCCTTGAAAAGTGCCCAAAGTTGCTTTCTAAGCATAATTTAGTTTGGGACCTGATTATCTGAAGAATCATTTTTTTGTATTAAGTACCTCTGTCTAATTGTCAGAATCTCCCTGAGAATACCTTTTAATAATCTTCCCCATCTCACTATAAGAGGCTCTAGTGGAGAGGACTTTTTGCATTGCTCTAAAATAATGAAATGTAGTTCCTTAGCTGTATTTGGACTTCTCTCAGTATTTAATTCTCTTTTGCTGGTGTTTATTACATGATTTTAGCTTTCATTTATGTTTTTAATCTTTCACTATGCTCTTTATTTAGCCAGTTTCAATGACTAAATTGAATTACAACAATTGCATGAGGCAAATGTATTGCTAATTCTTCAAACTATCATCTCACTGAAAAAAAAAAAGATCAAGTTGTATCTCATCATCACAATCTGCTAATCTATAACACCTCAGAAAAGTTGGATCCCATATGTGAGTGATGAGAAGACACGCTATATAAACCTTGATACTTAGTTTTCTTCCCCTGACTGGAATTAGAGGTTTCCACTTCAGTCTTCATATTGAAAGTCTTCCTAAAGACAGTTGTTGATAGTCATAAATAGGTTCTTGAGTATTGCTCTGTGTCCTTGTATTCAAATATACCCTGGGTGTTGACAAGATCTGCACCATGCCTTGCTATTTTAAGTGGCTACTAACCCATCTTCTAAATTAAGCCCCTTCTTTGCAATAAAGATTTAGGCAGGTAAGTCTGTCAACTGTCAAAGAGAGCTCATTCCATGTTATCCAGGTTACTCATGTTTCCTCTGAATCATGTTAAGAATAAATAAAAATTCCAGTGTCTATTCTTCCAGTTAAATCAAGAACAAGGATTCTAGACTAATTAACACAAGTACTGGTTTTGCAAGAACTTTCAAGGTTGTATCTCTAAAGAGAAATGTTCCAAATCCATAAGCACTGATCTAAAGACAAGCTAAATATGTATATGTTAGAATCTGAAAAGCTTATAATTCAACCTTTAAAACATGTGGATGACCAATAAAGTTGAATGTTAAACCAAAATAGAAACTAAATTTAAATTGGTTAAATTAAATTGAATTTTTATTTAATTTTGCTTAGGTAAGGTTCTTTTTCTGATTAGAAGTTATATTTTGATTTTTAAAGAAAGTTCATTCTCCATGGGATGCAGGTTGTCCTCAGTTTACGAACAACTGAGCCCAAAATGTATGTTATTAAGTGAGACATTCATTAAGTGAATTTTGTCCCATTTTACAATCTTTCTTGCCACAGTTGTTAAGTGAATGATTGCAGTTGTTAAGTTAGTAACCTGATTGTTAAGTGAATCTTGCTTCCCCATTGACTTTGTTTGTCAAGGCGCAAAAATTGATCACATGACTCCATCATAAATATGAATCAGCTGCTAAGCATCTGAATTTTGATCACATGATCATGAGGATGCTAAAATGGTTATAAGCATGAAAAAGTCATGTCACTTTTTTTTCAGTGCTGTTGTAACTTTGAACGATCAATAAACAAACTGCTGTAAATTGAGGACTACCTGTATTTGGTGATAAGTGATGAAAATGATTTTTAATTTTTTTTGCCAAAAATTGTCCTGCTCAATATGAAGTTTTGCAAAGTTTTACCACTAAATTTTAGCATGCAGTTTAGAGGCTGGGAAAAAAATGATTCAATTTTCCTTTGGAGAGGCAATAAAAACTAAATTGATAACACTTAAAAGCTAAATTATTTCTGATATTAAAAGTGATCATTGAAATAAATATTCCAACCTGGTGTTGTTAGTGCTTTTTCTAAGTTCCATTTGCATTCCAAAAACAGCTATTTATAGTAGCATATTACAATGCAGGTGATCAACTAAATGTTACTGGATCTCTTCATAGCCCTGGTATGCATATTGGATTACATCCAAATTATGTCATACTTTAGTCTTTCAGAAATGAATAGGTCTTAGATTAGTCATTGCTATCTTACTCCATAAGCATCTATGAAACTAAAGCAATATTGTTTAGTACAGTTGTAAAAATCCATCAATAAAGCCTTCAAATCAGGAACCAAACACAAAATTTGGTTTGTGGGAGCCTGAGTGGCGTAGGAGGCTAATGCCTCCTACTAAGGCAGCATTTAACATCCAGCTGCCTGCAATTACTGCGAGTTCAATTCTCACCAGGCTCAAGGTCGACTCAGCCTTCCATCCTTTCTAAGGTGGGTAAAATGAGGACCCGGTTTGTGGGGGCAATAAGCTGACTTTGTATAAAATATACAAAAGTATGAAGGCTATTGCTTAACGCATTGTAAGCCGCCCTGAGTCTCCGGAGAAGGGCGGCACATAAAAATAAAAAAATAAAAAAAAATTAGATCACAGAAAATGTAATCTTTTAACACAAATCTAATCCCAGCCAATATTCTTCCAAACTATGAATGCTCGTGATAAAGTTGTATCCTATCTCGTCTGAGTTTGTGGCAAGTTATTGAATGTATTTTTCTCCAACAGGAATCACAGTTCAGAAGCTTGAATATATTCCAAGTCAGTATAGGATATTAATTCAAGGATGAGGAAAAGGAAACCTGGGTGCTCAAACAATATTTCTTTATACTATGGATTGAATGAACTATATGGCTGCCTATCTCAAACAAGTGACTCTTGGAACAACAACAATAATGCCTCCCCCCCCAACAACAAATAAATAGACAATTGGCAAGTGAGATTAAAAAAACAATTAACAATTAATGTAAATAATTAAAATGGCTAATAAAACTGCACCTATTCCTAAAATGCATACTGGCCATGTAACTATGGTGTCATAGATTGAAGAAGAGTGAACAAATTACTCAAGGGACTCCTTGAATATTTATTTTGAGCCAACCCTGTTTACATCCAGCAAGATATAATATGGACTTCAGCTGTGTTGCATATTTGAGCTGCATGGAGAATGAAAGCAAATGAGAGGGCAAAATTCTTTGTTATTCAATGAGCTGCATGATGGAAATGTGCTTCCCCAGTGTTATCTACAACTTATTCTCTTACTTATATCTATTGTACCCAAATTGCAAAAATTGAAAATACCATCTTGATGGTAGCCAAAAGAGCTTCCCAAATCTTTTTGCTGCCATCTAATGGTCATCTGGGTTTTTGCAGTCCAGATCAGATATATCTGCTTTCTAGGTTTCATCTTCTCACAACTTTGCTCGCTAAAGATGTTGGAAGCTATAAAGAGGAAGATGACTTGGAGTCTGACTACAGTACAGAATTCAGTCCTCAACATTTGATGTCAAAATAACAAAGCGGAAGGCAAAGAAATATCCATGTGATCGAAATAGACACAGTCTAATTGTTAAAACACCAGACTAGAAACCAAGAGGTCCTAATCCTGGTTGGATGACTTTTGGATGAATATTGGAAAAGGAAGAAGTTTTGGATATGTTTGGTGCCTTGAGTTAATTATAAAAATAATAAAGGTGTGTTTTTAAAAATCTCAAAAATAAAACCACTAAATTGTACTGATAACGTTTCTGTTGCATCTTTTCCATAGGTGAGCTCATTCACTGTTTCTCTGATATTTTTGAACTTCAGTTTAATTTATATGCCAGTTGATTGGGAAGAAAATTAATTGATGGGCTATTTTTCTTATGAACAAAATAAAGGGGGTTTTTTTTAGCTAGTTTTGTGAAGAAGCATACAACTTGCTGCCTCTCTCTGCAGTATAAAGTACAATTTAGGAAGATCTTCAAGTTTGTTTCTCTCTGTGAAAAGAATGTCTTGAAAGCAATAGCAAGCAGATGTTCAGACTGCTTGCTATTGATAAAGTATGTGATCCGTGGACCAACAAAAATGCCATTCTTAATCTTGGCATCCATGATTCTTGGAAACCTCTGTCTTAAATAACAAACTTCCCCGTTTATTGCTTTTACAATTTTCATCATTCTGAGTTTTATGTGAAGCAGAAACAAAAATATCTTTGTTGAGTCAATAAGTGGTTCATATGCAACATTTTTCTGCCTGGAACCAACCACATGGCCATTTCTTTTCAATGTAATGTGACTCTCTTGCACAGCAATCCCATTCCCATGTGTAACAATAGTACTTGGTATGTCTCAGCTGCATTGCAAGCAGAGGCACTACTTCTAGATTTCCACAGATGTACCAGTTGTATTTGGTGTACTGGATGTGCTTCAGTAACAGTTCCATGTTTTCATATGTTTCTTTCATGTGTGCAGCACAGCCAATATAGCTTTACAATATAGTAACACCAGCTAATATGGTTGTGATTCCTACCTGATTTACTTAGCAAGGGTGACAAAAATGCACATATTTATTAAATATATATGGCACCCATTTCCTTGATAAGACAACTCTGGCCAGCTTCATAAAAGATAAATAAAAAAGCAATTAAAGATGTAAAACTATGCAAATTAGAAGTATTAATTGTGAATTATATTATTAAACATTATTACTTGTTAATCCATCTGCAAATGTCTAAACATTTTATTAGTCTGGAAATGCAGTTTAGTAACAGTAACAGAGTTGGGGTACCTTGGAGGTCATCTAGTCCAACCCCCTGCTCATGCAGACCTGTACTAGGGATTCGAACCACGGAACCTTTCTGATCAACAAGCTCAGTGTCTTAGCCACTGAGCCACCTAGTCAGGCTAGTAACCCAGTTACTCCTACTGTTTTGTTATTTAGATATTTCTACACACATTTGAGTTAATAGTTGATATGGCATGGTAAAAGCATTAAAATGATAAACATTGTTGGATTAAAATGTTGATACAAAATTTAATTTAAATAATCTGTTTATGTGTGTAGGCACCTAACATGCTTATAATCATGCTTTAAATGTTGGGAGATGGAGTTTAACTCAGTGGTGCTAATTAAACATTTATTCAGAGGTTCACATTTATGACGGCATAATATTGTATAAATTCCCAACCTGTGTTTTTATGCCTACACTTCAGTGTTATTTTAAACCTTGAGAGTGGTAGGCATGCGAGACTCCAACGTTGATGAACCACAACTTCAAGCAACCCAACCTCTGTGTGTGTGTAGGAGGTGTCCAGCCATAGGGGGCAGCAGGGTCCCCCGACCTGTTTATCCCCGCACCCCCACACTTCATCGAGGCACCCCCTGGGCTGGCCATCCGTTTGCTCTGGCATCGGGGCAATAGCGAGCAAAGAGCAGCGACCAGCAGCCCCTTCACTAACTTTTCTGAAGGCGGACGAGGCTATTCTGGGCAAAGGAGCGTCTCCCTCGCGCTTCCACCACGAAAGAGGCAACCGCCTCCATTCCCTACTAGAAACCGACGCCCCTGCGTTAACAAGGAAGAAAAGACAAGAAGCCCAACGAGCTCCCCCGCCCCTCCGCTTCCCCAAGGGAAGGTGGGGGACAAGAACCAGCTCTAACCATAGAGGTGCCGACGTCCAGAGCAGCCATGAAGGACTTCCTTTAAAAAGCAAATGCAGTCACTCGTTTGCACTTCCGGTGTGCGCGAGGAGGACGGATACGCAGTTTGCGCCAGAGGTTTGAACGGTTGTTATTGTTTTTTTTAAAAAAATACTTCTCCCCCCCCCCCCAAGTCTCGGGCCTGGGTGAGCTTTTTTCGCTGCGCCTTCTTCGTGGGGTGAGTGGGTGATCTCGGCTAGAAGAGGTCCGAGCACCTTGTTGGGCAGCCTTCAGGTGGGCCGCGCACTTTTGAGGTGACCTGGTAATCTTTTCGTTATCAGTAGGTATTGGCCGGCCCTCCGGATGGCCCTCAACAAATCTATGCATGAGAGGAATAGATACAAGAACAAACCTCCCGACTTCGCTTTTCTGGCATCCAAGTATCCAGAATTTAAGCAGCACGTGCAAATTAACTTGTCAGGAAGAGTGAGGTAGGTCAGCATGTACGCCCGCTTATCTTTTCTCTTTCTATGAATACCTATCGGTGAAGACAGCGTTTCACCGAGTGAGAAAAGGTTTTCCTCTAAGAGGATTCACAGTACCAAGGAAGAGGAATATTTGCAGGGTTGAAATGAAATGTCCTTGATGCTCTCTGGGCATGGTTGTTTTCTTGCAGACGTTTCATTACCCAGACTAGGTAACATCTTCAGTGCTAGACCAATGGGGATAGGATTCATAATCTAAAATCTCACTCCTGAGAGAGGGAAGTAGAAAGAGAGAGAAAGGAAAAAAAAACAATCTCTCCAGTTGTTCAGTGTAAAATACTGCATATGTGTAGTTTTTAACTGAGGAATTTAATATGTTATGGTATTAGAAAAGATGCTATCAATATATGTATGCATTACTAGGGCTGCAGGTTTTCGTTAAATTAGGCCATTAAATTAAATTAAAAGTGCAGATCTTTCTGGATATAGCAGATTATTTAAACCCCATTTTTCTCTGCTGTTTACTCATTTCACAGCTCTCTACCTGTTTCTTGTATCTTCCAGTGTAAATTTCAAGGATCCACAAGCAGTGAGAGCCCTGACATGTACATTGCTGAAAGAAGATTTTGGACTTCAGATAGATATACCATTAGAAAGGCTTATTCCAACTGTTCCCTTGAGACTTAACTATATCCACTGGGTTGAAGATCTAATTGCTCAGCAAGATACTGCTACTAAAGGTTCTGTTACATGGGGAATAGACATAGGTACGTGGTAGACTATATGGATTTGATCATGCAGTCACCAAGAATTAAGCTAAATTAAAAAAAAAAATACTTTTTAAAGTTGCTGTTTATGTCCTAAGGAGTAGCAAAAAAGATCCTCTTTGCCATGCAGCATTCATTTCGTAAAAGTTTACTTGACACAGTCAACTAATAGTGTGATTACCATGGAGAGGCTTGAAAGTTAGTACATTTTTCCCATTTTTCACTTTTAATTAATCAAATTTCCCCTTCTTGAATATGACATAGGTACTGGTGCATCCTGTATTTACCCATTACTTGGTGCAACTTTGAATGGATGGTATTTTATTGCAACGGAAGTGGATGATGTGTGTTTCAGCTATGCCAAGAAAAACGTAGAGCAAAATAACTTATCTGATCTTATAAAAGGTAACACTTTGTTTTTCTTTTATAATACCTAGGCAGAGTTCTTTATGTGCTGTTTAAAAAACAAAATCATATGAAGTACATGATTTATAGAGGTTGGTTGTTTTGATTCACAGGGTTCTTTTTAAACTACTTTGTTAAAGATTAGTGGCAATGAATAGGAAATCAATTAACAAAACATCTAGCTTTCGTTCCAGTTATTCCAGTCAATTATGAATAGATAATAATGATAATGATAATAAGTGTTAAAGGCTAATTATAATTTAATTTATTTGACTATATGAGTTTCCAAAGATTCCTTTTAATTGTTCTTCAGCTGTTGCACTGAAGTACAACTAGGTTTATAATAAAAATGTAGCTATTAAACTGAGCATCTAAGACCTAGGGCCTTGATGGCTAACCTTTTCTGGACTGAGTGCCCAAAGCGCCTGTGTGTGTCCCCACGCCCCCAAAATGCAATGCATGCACAGGGCTCTGCATGCGTGGGCCCCCCGCATGCGCCACACACATGCGTGGCAGAGCCCTGAAGATCAGCTGGCCAGTGGGAGGCATGCGCGCATGTGCGGCAGAGCTGAACTGGGACGACGGCTTGCATGCCATCAAAGAGGGTGCTGCGTGCCATACGTGCCATAGGTTGCCATCATAGGTCTATGGTGAGTTATATGCATCAATCTTTTTAATATAAACAACCTAGATAAATATTTATTTTCCGTGTTGATGTATTAGGGATTTCTAATGTTTGAATGAAAGACTACTAATTACTTCTCTTTGTTTTTCTTTTAGTGGTTAAAGTACCACAAAAAACACTACTCCTGGATGCCTTAGAAGAAGAGTCTGAAGTTATTTATGACTTCTGTATGTGCAACCCTCCATTTTTTGCCAACCAACTAGAAGCAAAGGTTTGTTTATTATGAGTTTATCAATGGATCTTTACTTCTTCATTTGATGAATGCTTATTGTTGAGAGGATATTTCATATTTATAATACTTGAAGCTGAATGGTGATGTTATAACTGAAACTAAACCTGATTTTTATCTCTGGTCAGTGGTTGAATGATCTTGGTAGAGGGGACCTAGACATCAAACCCTTGTCATGGACAGATCATTCGCTCCTTCACTTAGACTTTCCTACCGCTTTCCCCCGCCGCAGGGAGACGGAACCAACCAGATGGTTCCGTCCCAGGCGCCTGATGGATCCCGAAAGGTTCCTGACGGAGCTTGGGCCGTTTCCTGAGACTCTAACACACGACTCGACTGAAGAACTGGTGGCCGCCTGGGAAAGGGCGGCCGCTGGAGCTTTGGACCGCGTCGTGCCTTTGCGGCCTCTGACCCGATGCCGATCTCAATTAGCTCCTTGGTTCTCTGAGGAGCTGAGAGAGATGAAGCGTCGGAAAAGACGCCTAGAGAGCATTTGGAGGACTAGTCAATCCGATTCTGACCGGACACAGGTGAGATCTTATATCAAGACCTACCTAGTGGCGATAAAAGCGGCAAAATCTAACCATTTTTCCGCTCTTATCGCATCTGCAGAGAACCGCCCAGCTGCCCTGTTTAGGGTGACCCACTCCCTTCTTCGGGGGGGAGTACGGGAAGATCCCTTGCAGGGTCGTGCTGAGGATTTTGTGCAATTCCTGCATGATAAAGTCGCTCGGATTCGGGATGGCTTGAACTCCGATTGGATGAGTCCACGGGAGGAGACCGGGGCAGGTCTTGAGAATGTTATCTGGGAGGAGTTTGATCCTGTGACTCCCGAGGATGTGGACAGAGTTCTGGGTAAGATTAGTGCCGCCACGTGTTTATTGGACCCGTGCCCCTCCTGGTTGGTACTGGCCTCCCGGGAGGTTACACGAGGCTGGCTCCAGGGGATTATAGGTGCTTCTCTGAGTGAGGGTGTCTTTCCTGCCGCCTTGAAAGAGGCGGTGGTGAGGCCCCTCCTCAAGAAGCCTTCCCTGGACCCGGCTGAATTAGCTAACTATCGTCCAGTCTCCAACCTTCGTTTTGTGGCGAAGGTTGTTGAGAGCGTGGTGGCACGACAACTTTCCCGACACCTGGATGAAGCTATCTATCTAGACCCGTACCAGTCGGGCTTCAGGCAGGGGTACAGCACAGAAACGGCATTGGTCGCGTTGGTGGATGATCTCTGGAGGGCTCGGGACAGGGGTTGCTCCTCTGTCCTAGTCCTATTAGATCTCTCAGCGGCTTTTGATACCATCGACCATGGTATCATGCTGCAGCGGTTGAGGGGGTTAGGAATAGGGGGCACCGTTTTGCGGTGGTTCTCCTCCTTCCTCTCTGACCGCTCGCAGTTTGTGTTGGCAGGGGGACAGAGGTCGACCTCGAGGCGTCTCACATGGGGGGTGCCGCAAGGGTCAGTCCTCTCGCCCCTCCTGTTCAATATTTATGTGAAGCCGCTGGGTGAGATCATCCGTGGTTTTGGGGTGAAGTGCCATCTGTACGCTGATGATACTCAGCTGTACATCTCCACCCCAGACCACCCCAACGATGCCCTTGATGTGATGTCTCGCTGCCTGGAGGCCGTGCGGGTCTGGATGGGGAAGAACTTGCTCAGACTCAACCCCTCCAAGACCGAGTGGCTGTGGCTTCCGGCGCCCCGATATAGTCAGCAGGTGCCATCGCTAACTATTGGGGGTGAATCTCTGCCCCCCACAGAGAGGGCTCGCAATCTGGGTGTCCTTCTGGATGCACGGCTGTCTTTAGAAGAGCATATGACGGCCGTGGCCAGGGGGGCCTTTTATCAGGTTCGCCTGATTCACCAGTTGCAGCCCTTTCTGGATCGGGACGCCCTACGCACGGTCACTCATGCCCTTGTTACTTCCTGGTTGGACTATTGTAATGCTCTCTACATGGGGCTCCCCTTGAAGAGCACTCGGAGGCTCCAACTGGTCCAGAATGCGGCCGCGCGGGTGGTTATGGGCGCAACTCGTTGTGCCCATGTGACACCCCTCCTGCGCGAGCTGCACTGGCTCCCAGTGGTCTTCCGGGTGCGATTCAAGGTGTTAGTTACCACCTTTAAAGCACTCCATGGCATAGGACCCGGGTACCTCCAAGACCGTCTTCTGCCACCAATAGCCTCCCACCGACCAGTCCGTTCCCACAGGGAGGGTCTCCTCAGCGTGCTGTCAACCAAGTTATGTCGACTGGCGGCGCCCAGGGGTAGGGCCTTCTCTGTGGGAGCCCCAGCCCTGTGGAACGAACTGCCCCCGGAAATTCGTAAGATCTCCGACCTCCGGGCGTTTCGCTGCGCATTGAAGACCCTATTATTCCGCCAGGCCGGACTAACAACACAATAGTTTTTAAATTGGGATATTTAAATTTATTGGGGTTTTAAATCTGAGCCACTTTATTTAATTATTTTAAATTTTATATTGTTGTTCTGTTTGTGTTTTTAAACAGGCTGTACACCGCCCTGAGTCCTTCGGGAGAAGGGCGGTATAGAAATAAAATTATTATTAAACATGTAAAATGGTTTTATCCCATTTGTTTATTTGCGTAATAAGGTAAAATAAAGAATCCGTTAAGTTCATAATGGCTCAAGTTAGGACACATCTTAGTCCAGCTTTTTGTTTCTCATACTTGCCAAACAGATGCCTCTGAGATGCTTTCAAATAGGAGATGTACGCTTATCATTGTTTCTGATGAATAGGTATATACATACATTTTATTTCTTTGATAACTATGAAAGTGTCTCACTTTTTGTCACTCTGCAACCTACATTGCTGCAGTTTCTTGGTGATTTCCTATCCCTATTTAACTTTGAAATTAACTAAGGTCAGATAGCTGCTGCCACCTGCTGTGAAGCAAAATTAAACTCTTCTCTGAGATGATTTTGGCTATAGGAAAAGATTATGAGAGCCAAACCAATTTGTCATATAATTTCTTCAGTTCATAATGGATCTTAATTGAGAATTTATCTGTTATATTACTATTGAAATATGTCAGTCTATTTCATGGTAATGAACACCTTTTTTATCTCATGCATTTATTGTTAATTGAGGAAGCAATAATACCAGCATTAATAGCCTTCTGAGGTGTGTAAAATGGGGGCCCAGATTGTTGGGGATAATATGCTGACTCTGTAAACTGTTTATTAGAAAGGGCTATAAAGCACTATGAAGTGATATATAAGTCTAAGTGCTATTGCTATGCTTCATAAATATTTTGTTTGCTGCCAGAATCTACAGAGATTTTTTCTCAGTGTGAATAGTTGTAAATATAATGGACTTTTCTCATAAATTCCCAACTTGGATGTTTTTTACATTAGGGTATTTGAAATCAAACATCTGAAAACTATACAATTGGAAATGGCTGCCATTGAGTATTTTCCCCCCAACAAATTTCTCCATTCTTAATACCAGCTTCACTTATGTATCTTATATAATTATTTCTATATTTTCAATACTCTTTTGGTCTTTAATTAATGTATTTTTGTGAGAGTAAGAACTCTCCCTTGAAGAAATATGTCCATATCTCTTCAAAAGACTTCTCTTGCAGAAATATGGATATAAAAGTGTGCTATAAAGACTCTTGTCTGATGTATTTTTGTAATAGTTATTTACTGTTAGAATAGACTTTGATCTCTTAAAGGAATGAAACAATGTAGATGTCATAGAAGTATGTCTTGGATCACGGATATTATTAAATTAAGTTATTAAGGAGGGCATGTTTTTACTATAACAATCTTCCTTTTTCCTTTTTTTGGGGGAGGGGGAGATTAAATTAAAATAATGTTTAAAGTTATGAACCACAGATATGTCTTATTAAACTAGGTACAGTTTTTATTGTTTTAATAAGAATTGTTAATTATAAGGTCCAAGGCCTGTTAAGTAAATTATTCCGCTTGTTATAAAACAACATGCCTTGACCCCATAATTCCAAATCTAAGAAAATACTATTAATCAAAGTTGTTACCAACCATTTTTACTTTATTTTCAAAAAAATCAAAATGTTGCCTTTTCCGTTTGCTTTTGTAAAACGTCTCTTTATTTATGCATGGTTGTGTTGGTATATATTTCCAATAATTATGACTTCTCATTTTAGTAGTAGCAAATATTGCTAAAATTCTATAACAAATTTGTTACCACACTAATAATTTTAGATTTTTTATTATATAAAAACAGTGCAAAATATACACTAATGAATTTATTCCACCAGATTTAATTCAAGAGGGGAGTGTTTGTGTGTAGTGCTTATATATATAAATTGATAACAGTCAAAAGTATAAATCAAATGTTTCTAGCGCATCTTCTGAGAAAAAGACCTCTTTGTTCTAGCAAAAATCTTTCCATCATAAAAAAATAAAGAATTGTGAGACTAAAGCCATTATTAAACAAACCTGTTATATCAGCTACTGAAATTATTCTTCGGTTGATTTTCTTCACTATTTTTTAAAAAATTGAGGTTTTTTTTTTCATCTTTGTTATTCTACCTGTTGAGCATTAGGGCAAATAATAAATGATCCATTTTTTATTGTGAAATAGATAAGATTCTGATGCATTTTGATGCTCTTATTTTTAATTATTAAAGTAAAACAATATGATTCCTTACATGTATATATATATATTCTTATATATAGTAAATCTGCAAAAACAGTCCATTAACTCTTTGTTATATGCATTATAAAACTATGTTGCTTGCCTGAGCATGGAACTATTTATTTTAAATATAAAATACTTTCCTGCATCCTTGTTCGTTCATACAAACCCTGGTGCTACTGTTATAGTAATGGAGAATACATGTAGCACAGGGCTGAGTGGTTAGGTTATTAATATACTAATTAGGTATCAATTTAAATGGCACTAAAAAGTAATTAGAAAAGCCACCCAATTTTTTTAAAGAAAATGTGAAAATATAAGTTACTAGAATCTGCTGCTAATGATTTTACCAACAGCTTTCTATCTTATTTGACCATTATCTAATTGCTTGTGATAAAGCAATTAATTTTATCTTTCTAATGAATGGCACATCTTAGTTTAATTTCCCACTTTTTATTTACTGGTTCCCAAAATTACTCTAGTTCTATTTTCTTTTAATAGCTTTGTTTTGCTTGTTTTGTTTTTTGAAGTAATCTGGCAATGGCAGAAAAAAAATAGAATGTTAATGAAAGGAAAACAAGATATGACATAATTATAGGGAAAAAATAATAGCTATTAGTTGTTTACATTTTAACTTGTTCCGCCAGGCAGGGCTATCAACATAATAATTTTAAATTGGGGTATTTTAAATTTTTGGGGTTTTAAATCGACCAAATCTATTTAATTATTTTAATTTTTAATCATTGTTGTGTCCTGTGTTTTTAAATTGGCTGTACACCGCCCTGAGTCCTTCGGGAGAAGGGCAGTATAGAAATAAAATTATTATTATTATTATTATTATTATTATTATTATTATTATTATTATTAACTGTAAAACAAATGGTTTCTTTTCCAGGGAGTAAATTCTCGTAACCCTAGAAGGCCACCACCTAGTTCAGTCAATACAGGAGGCATAACTGAGATCATGGCTGAAGGAGGAGAGCTAGAATTTGTCAAGAGAATCATTCATGATAGCTTGCAACTTAAAAAAAGATTACGGTAAGAAGTTACATTAAATTAAAAGGCACTGGCATTTAGTATAAACTGTATATCTGTATTTAAAGAAAAGCAAAAAAGATGGAAATTTTACGCACGCGCGCACAGACACATGCATGACATGCCTATAAATCATAATTAGCTTCAGAATAACTTCTTCAATACAGTGAAGAATTGTAGCCATAAACTTATCTTTCCAATGTTGAAGAATAAGTTTCTTAATAATAAGAAACAATATGAAGGGTGAGAAGACTCCATTTCCATTATCCAGTCATTAGTACCTATGTAGTAGATAAGTAATTCAAAACAATATGGACATCCACAAATATTACAACTTGACTTAAAGTCTAATCAATATATGTAATGATTTTTTTCATGGCATATAATATATTTTGTATATTGTATTTTGTATATTACAGTATATATTTTATATCCAAAAGGTAGTCTGCTTAATTCAAGGTACCATGTCTAAATATGCATGAAAGGAGAAATTGACTTTGGTTGTTTGCTTGCAAACATTTCATTACCCAATAAAGTAACCTCATTGCTAATGATGTGAGATTTAGAGAGGAAGAAAACATACTACTCTTCCTCATCAGAGAAAACAACAGCAAATTAGAAATGAAAGTCTTATTGAAAATCGGTCCACACTAACCAAACGCTCCATTATCAAAATAACAACTCAGCCTCCCACAAGGTGCCCAGAATCATGATGTTGACATGGTGGCAAATATAAATATTTTCATTCTCTCTTATCTAATTTTCACATTTCAAAAAGACCAGAACACATTTTTTTCCAGCAGCCAACTTCCAGATAAGCAGGGATTGATACCGAACAATCAACAGAAATTAAAACTCTAATCAAAGAACTACCAAAAAGAAAATCAGAATATCAGTTTTAAATAAGAATAAATATTAATTATTTGTATCTTAATGTAAATTTGTTTGCTGTTTCAAAAAAGTCAAAATGACAAGTCGTCTATTTTAAAAAGGCTGGTTCCAAGAAAGAAGAGTCACTCCAATATATCAGTCTATGATTTATTCTATTGATTTAGAAATATATTTTCTTTACTTGAACTTTATTTCCCACTTCTGAAATGTTTTCCTTATTAAAGGTGGTATAGTTGTATGTTGGGAAAGAAATGCAGTTTGGCACCATTGAAAGAAGAACTACGAATCCATGGAGTAAGTAGTTCTCTAAAGACATTAAAGTTATCTGTTACTCAAAAATTGTGACTAGACTGCCACTTACATAAAGTTACATCTTGAAAAAAGTAGTCTTTAAGTTTGCTTATTATGCTTACTTAAAACAAAACTTCTAACAAAGAAGTGTAGCCTTGATGCTCTTATAAAGAAGTATTAAACCACTATTTTTTCTTCAATGTAGATCCATTAGAAACCAATATTGGTATTATTTTAGGATATGCAATCCGGGATCTGCTTTCGTAGCTTGCTTGTTTTCCATATGGACTGTACATAGACATCTGGAGCAGAAAGAATGCTTTTTCTTTCATTTATGTGAAATTGCTGGTTCCTTCCTATCTGACCAGTCACTCATCCTGTGCTCTTTCTCTTTTGAAGAAATTTTAAAGCTGGTGCTAAGAATTAGAGTGAAATTATTCTTAATGTTTCACTATTTTATTATAAAAAAACCTGTAACTATTTAAAAGGAATTATGTGGGAGAATATTTAAATTGATTTAAATTCTGCAGTGCAGATTAATAAGTAGTATACTTTGCTTTTCTTAGTAAATTCAAAGGACATCATACCACTAGCATGCTATAAAATTTTCATTCAAGTCCCTTTAATATTGATTCAATAAAGTGGCTGAATCACATGTAATATGAAATTGGCACTTCATATTTGACCTTCAGATCATAGTGCTCTTTAGACCAGCTGTATCTGCATATTTAGATACACTCTTATTTGGCTCTGCAAATTGGGAAAAATGTCCACTTTAGAAACTTGTCGCTTATGTTTATATTTCATTCATAGATGTATATGTACACTATCTCATATATATGCTCAACAATTTATATCAAATTCAGCCCCTTCCCATACATGTACAGCAAAATGAGAAAAACAGCATGCTGCAACTGAGAAAACAGCATGCAGAGTTAAAATTCCACATATACCAACACTCCTGCAAGACCTGTGCTTCCTCTTTAACCTGCAGAACTATCAATTAGCAGGTTTGTGGAAGTGCATTTTGTGAGCTGGACACTGTACATTTCAAGATAACTTATAACTTATAAGTTATAAGTTATAACTTATCCAGATGTGCTCTTCATATTATTCCTTTTTTTATTTTTGTAACAGGTTAATTGTAAAAAAGAATACATTGTCAATATAAATTATTTTTTGATGTTATGTCAGATATCTTTTAAATTAGACAGCTGCAGAATTCTTAGAAACTGAAAAAGCTTAAGACTGGTTTTATTTTTCCATGCAGGTTCCTAAAGTCACCCATACTGAATTCTGCCAAGGTCGGACTATGCGATGGGCCCTGGCTTGGAGCTTCTATGAAAATGTCAAAGTTCCAGTAAGTGGTTCTCTTGTCCTCCTCTTTCAGTACCTACTTTGAATCTTCATGGGGAATGATTTAGAGGAAGTCCTCACAACTATTAATTTAGAGACAATTCAAAATTATGGCACTAAATAAAGTGACTTATGATTGTCACCAAACTTATGACTATCACAGCATCCTCACAATCATGTGATCAAAATTCTGGCACTTCGCAACCAACACATATATACAACAGTTGTAGCATCCCAGGGATATGTGACCCTATTTGTTACCTTCCCAGTCAGCTTCCGACAGGAAAAGTAATGGGGGAGGCAGGATTTGCTTAACAATTAGGTGAGTTATTTAACTCCAAAGATTCACTTATTCGTGGCAAAAAAAAGACCTTAAAATTGGAAATGGCCACCTTGCTTAGCAACAGAAATTCTGGTCCCAATTATGACTGTAAGTCAAGAACTACATATATTCCTGTGACTGGTTGCATACTTTTCAGTTTTTCCAGAGCAAATAGAGAGAGATAGAGTACCTGTTGATGAAACACATTCAGCTCCCTTTTTATTTCTATGGCTTACTGGGGTGATTCTTCAGATCCCGGTGATGGGTTATTCTTTATACAGGAGAGCATTTCTTAATATAGTGTACTTGTGAGAGAGTTATATATGCATATCTTAAGACATTAAAACAGATGAATGTGGACAACAACACAAATGGAAAGAAAGAGTGCAAAGATTTGTTGTTCCATTGCCTTCATCTCATGCAAGTGGAGGCCATCAACCATGTGTGATTGCAAATTATGCCATTTGTCTTACTTGTATAGTCAGACTCAAGAGGGAGTAGTAGTAAGTGGCCCTCTTCGCTGGGTAATAGTCTTTGCCTTGGTGGTATCTGACTTCTCAGACACTATCATTGTCAGTCAAAAATTATTTATTGTTTCAACAGACAATGAAGATACTAAATATAATTCAACTACTTATTACTAATAATTGGAGGAGGTGTTAATTTTTGGGTTGTTCCCTCAGATGTATTGTAACTACCCTGTTTCCCCGAAAATAAGACATCCCCTGATAATAAGCCCAATTGGGTGCATGCTCTAAAATAAGCCTCCCCCCTGAAAATAAGCCCTCCCTGAAAATATTTAAACGCAGAACTGGAAATCAGGTAAGACTGCAAGAGGAGCCCCATCTTGCTCCACGTGCCCCAAAATAATAAGGTCTCCCCGAAAATAAGGCTAAGCGCTTATTTCAGGGTTCAAAAAACTTTAAGACAGGGTCTTATTTTGGGGGAAACACGGTATATTATTGCTGTTCCCAGAATACTTAGAATATGTACTTAGCTTTAGGCTGGCTCAAAAAGTGTATGAGATGCATTCTAACATGTATAGGGAACTTCAAATTGGAAAAATTCACAGAAGGAAACTACCTCATTGTGGCTTTCTTCTCTAGCAACATCTACCTCCCCAAATATATATTTAGAAAATGACAGAAGCTTTCTAAATAATGAGGCATCGATTTTTGAAGGGTTCTCTTTTCTGAATTTCTTTAGTTCAAAACCAGATTTCTACCTTTATTCATTCCATTTCCTTTCCCGGTCCCACTGATAATCCTTTCTGTTATGTTCACCATGTTCAGATGTGGCTTTCCACTGCCATTTTGTGGGGTGGGAGGATGGCTGCATAGTGAAGAATGGGATAGCAGATATTTTAGGAACTCACTAAGTATATGTATCCTAGGATCAAAGTCCTTTTAATGTTCTATTCATGTTCTTCAGGATATCATTTTGTTTTCTTATTATTTTGTTCAACTTGAATGTTGTACTTTTCCTCTCAGTCACCTCCTTCTAAGAAAAGGAAACTAGAAAAACCTCGGAAACCAATCACATTTCTCGTCCTGGCATCTACAGCCAAAGAGTTAGGTATGAAAGCTTCATCTGTAGGAATCAATGCTGTTGAAGGATTAGGAGTTGTTGCAGCATGGATTAGAAAACTACTCACTGATTTGAAGGTATGCTAACTTTTTAAAATTCTACTTCAGGCAACTGCCAGTAGCCGAAAAAGCCACACTATATTTGATATTATTCCCTTCAATAGGTTCAGCATAAAACACTTCCGTGTGGAAAAGATGAGGTCAGCTTGTTTCTAACAGCTGTGGAAAATTCCTGGATTCATTTAAGGAGAAAAAAGAGGGACAGAGTCAGGCAACTGCGTGAACTTCCTCGAGCATCTGAAGATTTCCTGCAATCAGCAGAAGAAAAGAATCAGAAAACATCCTGTAACATTTCTGAGTGTGAAGGAAATGCAAATGGATCTACTGAAAAATCATCTGAGGTACTTTGTCTTGATGTTGAGTCATCAGAAGATAATGGACTTAATAATGTACCTGCAATTCAGGAGAAAAATATTCAGGGATCCACTGAGGAAAGCAGCAGCACAGAGGAACCATCCTTTATTTCAGAATCCAAAGATATTTCCAGTAATCAAAATGAAGGGACCAAGACTTTTGCTAATGAAATCTTGGCTCTTGAAACTGGACAGAATGATAACACTTCAGGGGAATGGTTCCTTTTCAAATGTGTGTTAATTGTGAAGAAAGAAGGTTCTGATATTTTAATAGAAATGCACTGGATCGATGGACAGAACAGAGACTTAATGAATCAACTGTGCACTTATCTAAAGAATCAGATGTTTCGTTTGATCACAATTTAAAGACATGTGGATGTTTGGAAGAATTATCCTTATTTTTGTAATCTTGCTTTTGTATTTAATACCCGTTTCCCCTAGACCTATCCCGAAAATAAGCCCTAGCATGCTTTTACATGTGTGCCTAATATAAGCCCTACCCCCCAAAATAAGCCCTACTTAAGAACCAATGCAGCTGGCTGCCTGCCCATTCCTTCTGGTTGCTCGTGGTGCGGTGGCCACAAGGCAAGGTGGGGTGGTAGAGCTGCCCCATGCGCCCTGCACCAGTTTACCTCAAGGCCCCCGCAGCCAAGCCATCCATGCCCTGACCTCTGCCTCACAGCAGCAGCAACCACCATGTTGTGGCCTGTCAGCCACCGGACCCTCCACCAGCTGTGTCAGGTGAGGAAGAGGCAGAGTCAAGGCCAGTGTCAAGGCAATCTCAGAGCTCCAAGGGGGAAGAGGGAATAGAGCTGTCAGAGATAGAGGCAGAGCCTGAGCCATCCATTAGCCCTAAGATGGAGAGGCCACAGCCCCCAGGTCTAGAGGTTGCTGATGAGGAAGAGGAGGAACAGCTGGATCCAGTGCCTGACAATATGGATGCGCAGAAGGCAGGGGAGAGAAGAGCAGTGAGAATCCTGAATCCTGTCTGGGACTTATTAGACTCCTTCCTTTAAATCAGCATCACTGACTGGTGTGCCTTCTGAGTGTGTGTGTGTGTGTGTGTGTGTGTGTGTGTGTCTGCTGCTGGAAAAAGCACACCTTTCAGGACTTCTTGTGTGAATATGGAGAGAGAGATTTGTGGTGTGTGGGGCTATTTCAGTGGGAAAGGGAACTGACACAGGCACTGAAAGACTTAGCCTGCAGCTCCATTTCTCCTACCTCACGGCAGCGACACTGACACAGCACACTGCCTCCTGTCCCACCACGAGCAAGCAGAAGTGAGCCTCCTGTACATGGGGGAAAAAATAAGACACCCCCTGAAAATAAGCCCTACTGCTTATTTTGGGACACAAAAGAAAATAAGACCAGGTCTTATTTTGGGGAAAACATGGGTGGCATCCACAATGGTACCTCTTAAAGATAATAGGTTCTAAAAATTTGAGGTATTTATGATTAGTTAAAACAAAAAATGAATTGTGCTTGCTTTCTACTGGAATAATTCGGATTTATGTTATAACTGTATTTTCCTTACTGATTTCAGTGAGTCATAAATGTAACTAGTTAAATCTGAATCACTTTCCCTGTAATCATCACCTTTGTATAATGGAGTTAATATTTTTTGTTTCAGCTTACATATTGAAAGAGCAGCACTGTAATAGCATTAAAAATGTTGTAAAAAATTGTCAGCTTTTCCAACTGTTCAGAAATTGTTTTATATCTATATCTTGGCCTCCTTGTCAGAAGTGCTCCCACATGTTGGATTGCATCAAAGCAGAATATTTTTTTCAACTTTGAAAGAACAGAGGTTGTACACAAATGCCACTTAGATTATTTTGCTATAGAATTGAGAAAACTATACTTCATTCTCTGGTGTATCTTGATAAATTTTAAACAAAGTTGCAATGCTCTGTTACTAAAATCAGAATCCAAGGTTTGGAGTGCCTCATTAACAATAAATTATTTTTTGCAAAGATGCAAAATCAGTAGTTAGTGGATCAAATAGAGATCAGTAATATCACTTCTGTAAACCATGAGGTTAGACAAGGTTAATAATTTACTCATTTTTTGGAATTTGAAGTCACATGTTTGTGCTTTCTACTGCCATCTTGTGCACAAGTTGTAGTATTGTAACTAATTTTCTTGTTCAGTGCTTGCCATCTGGTTGTCAAAGCACATGAAACTTCATGTTTGTTCCATATGACTGATAATTTTGTCTTCTGTCAACTTGAAAGAGCTGCACCACAAGCACATATTGAATGGAGCTTTTTGAGAAATATGTCCACAAATATAACTTCTCCTTCAGTGCATTTGTTTCTCAGGCCTTTTGCAGCCAATATTGTAGATCAACAAACCAAGCACAAGAAATAGCTGTGAGAAGGAAAAGAGCCAAAGATGTCCTATGTAGTCTTGCTGGACCATATGCCTCATCAAGTGAAGAGGAATTAATTAACGTAATTCAAATGTTCCTTTTAGTTTGCAAAAGGTACTTGGAACATCAATATAGAGCCAGTTCCAAGAAGTTAAACCCAGCAATAAAATTGTGCCAATGTACTCCCAAATTATTTTTCCTGATTATTTTGGCTGGTTTGATTTAGGGAGGGGTAGGGGGAATCAAAGCATACCAAAAGTTTGCATGTTCTTCAGCCAGGGGCCATGCATTGCAGGAGCCATCAATAAATCTTCAACCTTGTGCAAACTGTTCTAAAATGCTCTTCATGAATTATTTTCAGGAGCTCTTGGGCTCTTAAAAATCACTCTTGAATGCCATTCTGTTTCCTAAAGACAAGTGAGATGGTAACTTTGTTTCTTAGAGCTATGCAAATTTTTCAAGTGAGGTGCTTTACAAGGCACAGGGTGCATGTGCAGAGCATCTCTTTTCAACTCATTAAAGCAATACCTTTTTTTTTCAGGCTTGCACAACTTTTTTGTAATCTGCATCAACTGTCTATATACTGCAGGAAAGCAAGGACAGGCAGGAGCGTCCAAGGTTGGCAAACAACATTTTATTTATTTGTCATATTTAAGAATTGCCAACTTCTTCATAGAGGGACTGGGCAATGTACAATAAAATATTAAAAGCATTAAAAAAGTATATAAACTCTAAAAGAAGGATGGTAATTCATTAAAAGATGGGGGAGGGGCTTTTTCAGAGCATCAATCAACCCTACAGCGACATGCTCATCTGAGCCATGTTTTTATGCTTGTACAGAAGGCCTGGCGAGTGGGAGCCCGCCTCAACTCCAGGGGGAGCAGGTTCCACAGTGCAGGGGCTTATGGCCTCTTAACAGTTCTAAAAGACTTGGGACTTTGACAGCCCTACCACAGAGCCTACTGTACTTGCAAAAAAGGGTAGGTAATCTCTTCTGAACTCGTGTGTGTATGTGTGTGTGTGAGAGAGAGAGAGAAAGAGTGAGTGAGTGAAATGGGTGCATCTATCCTTTCAGTCCTTTTAGCATCGTTTTTCTTTAGTACAATACTAAAATATTATATTTTTCTGGATTTGTGTTCTAAATCATGTGTTGCTAGTAACAGAACTTTACATTCAAGTCTTGGGTTTTGAGTTAACAAGATTTGGTGAATATGGTAAGGGGTTTGTGGACTTTCATGGAATGACATATAGAGAGCAACGCCTGATACGTTGACATCGCTCTTGAACCCCAAAACATTTGGTTCCTCAATGACTTAACCATGGTGGCTTTTTTTTTTACTGTGTTTTATTGATTAATTTATAATCCCATAAATTCACAATAATCCAATAATGCACAAAACACAGTGCCACCTTGTGAATGAACTCAACCTCTGACTCCAGACCAACCCCATCTACACATGCATAATTCAAAAAGAAAGAAAGGAAAGAAAATGGGTAAAAAAGGGAAAAATATCTCACGGAAAACCTAAATAGAGCTTTACCATGGCAGAATGTTCATTCTATTCTTTTCCACCTTTGCATGATATATTTTAAAAAAGCCTTTTCTGAGCCTCCCCTTCCCTAAGTGAGACTGGGCACCGAATGTGTTAGTGTTGCCTTTTGCTCTCAGAACCTTTTCTCCCTTCTCTGTTCTGGCAAAAGTCTGATCCTCACCATCCCTTTCATTCCCTGAGTTCCTGCTGCATGAGAAATGAATTATTAATGGTGCATTAAACAGAGGCTGGCCCAGGGCCAAGGGATGGTGCTAATCAGAAGCTAATTGAGGGAGAAATTAGATACTGTTCCCAGCTGCCTGAAAGATGAGGGGTAGATGGCAGCCTGCTAGAAAAGGTGACCCCCATGACAAAAATCACAAATTTGCCGGCAGGACCATGGAGCACAGCTGGTTTGAATGCTGCTCTACACTCCCTCCTCTCCAGCCACATGACTACCCATTCTTTTCCATCTCCTAACCCTCTTCCTATGTTACTTATTTCCAAAGCCAGTTTGAGACAAGGTGTGATCTGGGCCCTGTATTTGATGGTGTAGATCAGCACACAAATTATAATTGTAGTAGTTCTGTGCAGGGCTGAGTTCCTTTTATTGGACAGCACAAGAAAGTGCCACTGTGGCTAATGGTTTTGAGATTGGACACCATTTGTCTGAAATGGTATAGGGTTTCCTGCTTGAGCAGAGGGTTGGACCAGAAGTCCTCCAACGTCCCTTCCAACTCTGTTATTCTGATGGTTGCAAATCTGGCTTCCCCTAGGTTCAATCTGCCGCAGCTCTTGTTTATTGGAGGAGATGAAATGGAAGCTTTTAGGATATAATAGGAATCAAGAAGTTTCAAGCCTCACCTGGTTCTCACTTCCTTAATGAGAATTCAGACGAGCCCTGTAATGATATTTAGAAAAGACCTGGGGAGGTGAGCAAAGAGATACTGTCTAGGGAACAGGTAAGAAACAGCATAGCCCACAGCTGGATAGTGGGGCTGGGCAAGAGGATAAGGAGGGATTCTCCCTATTTCTTGAGCTGTAAAGGAGAATTGTACTTTCAGACTTGCAAGATTCTATCAATGTAATTTTACAAAAAAAGTAGAATTGGCTCCTCTGGTCGTATTTCCTGTCTGATCTACCTGGTAAGGCTGACAAGTACTAAGAGGAACCAAGTGAAATTTATTAGGTGAAAAGAGCAGATTGATTTATTGACCCAGCTCTGCTTGTCTTATCTTCCTTTCTACATCCAGTGTCTTTGTGGTGAAATCTATAGTTGCCTTAAATACCGCCCCACTTTCAGAGGGGGGAGTAAATATGACCTGTTGTTCTTGGCCTGCTTTATTCACCCAACTGATTGAAAATATATCAGGTCAGATTTCCCCCCCCCCCCTTCCCTCTACATGCTATAAGGCCTTAATTCGTTTTATCCAAAGCAAATTCTCCTTTCAGGTCATTCATATCATTGACCTGCCCAATACCTCTGAAAAGTAGAGGGAGATGCGTCCATGCACTGAGAACCAGCAGTTTCAAAGTCATGCTCTAAAATAAAATTAGGTTTATTCTTCAGGGGGATGGTTATTTCTAGAGCAGGCGTGGAATCAGCCTGCCTGATATTTTCTTAGCCCCAAAGGCAGAGGTAACCTTCAGGAAATCAAGAGCTGCCAGTGTTAAGGACATGCAAGAAAAAGGAAGACAGAAAACAAGCAAAATATTTTGGATACATAGAAATAGGTCCCAGTAGAGATGCTGCTGGGGAGAATTTTACTGTCACCCATTTTTCTTTGCCTTTGTGCATTGCATATGTTCATCTATCTTTCCATCTGCTCTTGGGATTTTTCTGATGAAAATAGCTCTTTATTATATATGTGGGAATATTACAGTCATGGAAGGAAGCCAAAGTGCTGCATTCCCTGAGGAAAAAACTGTTCAGAGGAAATTCCTCAAATACCCTGAAGCACCAGTAATCCTCAATTTAGGACTGGTTATTTCCTGATCATTCAAAATTATGATGGATCTTGAAAATGGGACTTATGACCTGGATTTGAAATTCTGATTTTGCCCCCCTTCCCTAGTTACATAAGTACATTTGGGCTTTCGACAACCAGCCCACATTTACAGCAGCACCCCACGGTCACATAATCACAATTTATGACATTTTTGCCAGAAACCAGTATTTACTTCCAGTTTCTGGCAAAATCTGTCCCATAGCAAATAATGGATTCACTTAACAACCACTGCATTCACTTTGCCACCACAGTGTTTGCTTTATGACCACTGCAAAAAAGGTCATAAAATTAGGTCTGATCATAAGATGTTCTATTTTACCACCTTCACTACTTAACGATCAAAATTCTGGGGTCCATTACAATCATAAGTTGGAGACTCACTGTAATGGCAATAGCTCTCTGGAAGCTCTGATTCTGGAAAAGCTGGAAGGAAAGAGAAGAAGACCACCAGCAGTGAAGTGGATGGACTCAGTTAAAGTGGTGATAAATGTATCATTGGGAGACCTGAAAGATCAGATTAAGGACAGATCATCATGGAGAAAATCTAACAATTTGATCTCTAAGATTTGACATTGATTTGATGACACATAATGAATTCAGTAACTCTTTGGTGATACAGGGGCATAATAATTCTGCTGTTTTTCCATTGCACAAAATTCTCGGACACTGTTTAGAGTCATTGCTGTATGAAACTCAAACCATGCTTCAGCATGAATGAGAAAGACATTTGGTAAACCAGCTTTCCTTACATGGAGCCTCCACAGCTCTCTCCAACTAAAATGCCAAAACATCTTCTCATAGGATCTGCCTGGAATTAATAGACTTTGAAAAATGGCAGCAAGATAAAAACAGAATTTGAATTCAACAGGAAGATGTGTTACTGAACAGATGAAAAGGGATAAAAGTGTATTAGTTCTTTAGCAGCAGGTCTCCTTCAAAGAAAATTGCTTGTAATATAGTTAACTTGGGTGCAGACTCTAGGTTTAGCCCAGTTATCTTTGAATGCTAGCAGAGATTTGTTATATTTGGGGTAAAAGATAGGTTTATTAAGGAATTCTTTGGATAGGAAAGCCATGTTGCTACCTAAACTATAACTGAAACAGAGAGAAAGGGGACATGGTGCTGAGAACTTTATTAAATACAGTCTCATTTTACTACAGGCCAAGTGAGAGATAGATACAGAGGCAGAGTGCAAAGATTCTTCCTTTCCTCTGCTTCTAGCCATTTATCCTAGTGGTCAGAAGACTCACTGGTGCAAAGAGGTAATCAGCCTCCAACAGAGAGAGAGTACTGTTCATCCCCAAATGGATTTGTAGCTTCACAGCATGTTCAGTCAAACTGGAAAGGCTGGGAATGGAGGTCTCAGTAATACAGTCCTCTAGCATTATTGATTTTATCATAGAGAGGCTAAACTTGCCTACTCGCTGCACCCTTCAGATAACAACTCTGCGGAGCAATAAAAAAAATGACTTAGAGGTGTGGGGTGGGAATTTGTGAGAGAAATCACAAGAACCTGCTTGCCTGCCAGCCAGCCTCTTCTTGTTGCCTCCTACAAAATTTGGTGTGATTTTGTTCAACATGCCCTTTTTTCTGTAGAAAAGTAAGTAAAGGAGAAAAGCTGTTCAGGTATCTGGTTATTACAAGAGGGT